AATTAATATACTATTGTACTTTATCACCGATAAGAACTATAGTACATTTCGCACATATAAATTATCAACAGCGGCACAAAGCCTTTAGTTCCGTTTTGTACGAGGAACAATAAAGCCACACAATGTCACTCTGCAGCTGTCTCACTTGTTTTATTTCAATCTTAAAACATTGTACTGTTCATGAAACCAAACGGTTTCTTAATTCGCGCAACAATCAAAATAAGTAAGCAACTGATTGGAAAGATTTTTGAAACAGCTTTTTTCGAATGAAAGCTTACAAAGCACTTTATTGACATCTATCTATCAAATAGCTAAATAGATTGTTTGAATATTTGTTTTCACAAGATGAAATATGTAAAATAAATTATTTTTAGATTCATTTTCAATTTTAAATCTGATGAAATTGAAGTAAACATTTGAAGAAAGTCTGAAAAATTAATGTTAAAACATGACAAAATATGGAAACTATGAATTAAATTTTGAATATCAACCAAAAAGGTCAAAAATTGTCTGCTCTTCCTGATTCTTTTTATAAAAAACGTCTTCGTTTTTTTCTTAAATCCACCAAAAGTTGGTTTTTGTTTATGAAATGTTGTATCGTATGAACTGTAAAGATTTCATTTTTAAGATTTCTAATATACCCATTTAGGGGGACAAATGCATAAAAATCATAAATAATTGTATTGTGTGTTCATCCAACAATAACAATGTCTCCTTTGAATGTGTATTCTGGTACTTCTAGATTGAGTGGCGCCGGACCCTTACGAACACGACCTGATGCATCGTAATGCGAACCGTGGCACGGGCAGTAGTATCCACCGAAATCACCAGCATTATGAATTGGTACGCATCCTAAGTGGGTGCATACACCGACAACGATCAACCACTTTGGATCTTTCACACGTTCCTATAAAGAAAAATCATTCGTTTAAGTTTTGTGTTTTTGGCTTTTGGATTGGATATGTCCAAAAATTAAAAGTAGTCATACCGCATCAGTTTGTGGATCTCTCAATAGACTCAATGGTACCGCTTCTTCTTTGGCAATTTCACTGTCAACACGATGGCGTATGAACAATGGCTTACCACGCCATGAGAATGTGACTGATTTCCCTTCGGGAATGTCAGCCAATTTAATTTCGATCGAAGCCATACTGAGAACATCACGAGCTGTTCCCATATATTCGCAAAGTGAGCGCACAGTACCTTTGGCACCATACATTCCAGCCGCCCACATTCCTATTCAAGAGTAAAGAACATGCGTCATTATTATGCAAGGCCATCGATGATATTAGTGGTTATACAAACCTCCAACGATGAGGTAGTGGTAAGTCATCTGCTTCTCATTATCAGTGGCGCGAGCTGGATTTTTTTTATGGCTCCATCGGTATTCATCGAATGATGGCACTTTAATGTCACGATGCGACATAGAATAGAGTCGCACTTGTTTTCTAGCTAAAAGGATGAAAAAATCATCAACACAAGCAGTGTCGGCTGTTTCTAAAAACCGATTTTCAGTGTGAACTACGATATTTTTATTAAGAGGTATAATTCACATTATTCACGAAAAAACTATTGTTCAATATTGAGACGCCCAGAGCGAAAAATAATATACAAAAGAAGATTTTATTTTATTTGCGTACATTATCTTTGCTTCGATGCATTTAAAAAAAACAACGTAATTACGAATTCACAGGAAGAACTACTTTTTGCGCACTTGAATATTGTTGGCACTTGTAATACTTACCACCACCGATCGAATTTTGAGCGACAAGTGAATTGTCCGAATTATAGACTGATGCCGAAACTTTAATAGTGTTGGCAACGATTTGCGGTCCACCACGCAAAAATATTACCAAATTTCCTGACCTTGCAATTATATTCATGTTCAGTCACTATTGAATAAATGATATCAACGACGCAAAAGTGTTGTTCGGATATATAGAGAATCTTCCAAATGAAATATATGCAACACATTTTACGAAGTACTAGATTTAGAAGAAAAAAATCTTTGAATTTATATGAAATGAGGCCGTTTTTTTAAATAAAAAATAGCAAATCAAATAATAGCAAACAATTAGTTTTGAATTTAAGACAAATATTCGCAATTGTTTCTTGATTTTCTTAGCCATCTCTTATTTTGCCTCAAGTGTTGTTGTTATTTGCAGTCGCTGCTTCATTAGTGCTTAAACCATAGAATTCCATAACTTTCATTCAAATCGTTCGTTTCAATTGAATGATTTCCAATATAAACAAAAATCCCATCTAATTTTGATCTATACAATTTATTTAGATATTTTTTTCCTTTAAGTTCAGGGACAAACTCAGCAAATGGTAAATTAGTTTATCATTTTGTTTTGGTTATTAATAAAATTCACATTGTATGTTTAACCGACAAGAACAACATCATCTTTGAATGTGTATTCTGGTACTTCTAGATTGAGTGGAGCTGGACCTTTACGAATACGACCTGATGCATCGTAATGGGAACCGTGGCACGGGCAATAGTATCCACCGAAATCACCAGCATTGGCAATTGGTACGCATCCCAAGTGAGTACATACACCGACAACAATCAACCATTTTGGATCTTTCACACGTTCCTACGGAGAAAATGAATTTGGTTTTAGTTCGTTTTCAAATGGTTATGTATAAACGAATAAAAAACAGAATTAACATACTGAATCAGTTTGTGGATCTCTCAATTCGCTCAATGGTACGGCTCCTTCCTTTGCGATTTCGGTGTCAACACGATGACGAATAAACAATGGTTTACCACGCCATGTAAATGTGACTGATTTTCCTTCGGGGATGTCACCCAATTTAACTTCAATTGTTCCCATACTGAGAGCATCACGAGCAGCTCCCATATATTCGCAAAGTGAACGCACTGTACCCTTGGTGCTGTACAATCCAGCTGCCCACATTCCTATTCAAGATTAAAGAACATTCAATGTTATTATGCAAGGCCATTGTTGTTGTTGTTGTTGTTGTTGGTTTTGACGGTGCATACAAACCTCCAGTGACAAGATAATGGTAAGTCATTTGCTTCTCGTTGTCGGTGGCACGAGTTGGGTCCTTTTTGTGACTCCATCGGTAAGCATCAAACGATGGTACTTTCACATCACGATGAGAGGTTGAGTAAAGTCGCACTTGATTTTTAGCTGTCAAAATATATATAATAGAACAAATTCATATGGGTTACGTAACCTAGTTCAATCAATTTTCATGCAAGCAAAATAACACGTAATTCACCGAAAAATACCTTTTGCGCACTTGAATATTGTTTGGTTTCATAATACTCACCACCAACGACCGAATTTTGAGCGGCAAGCGAATTATTTGATAGAGTTTTGGAGATATCAAATGAATTTGCAACACACAGTTCAGGTGATGTATTCACTGGTGCCGTGAATTTAACATTGCTGGTAACAACTTGCGTTGCACCACGCAAATATGGTGCCAAATTACCAGACTTTGTAATCACATTCATGATCATTGACTATAATATTTATTCAATCAAAGTTTTCACTTATAAAATTTCGATTTTTCACTGAAGTTTTTGGTTGATTGTTCTTGTGACTTTTTAGTCTTACGACAGAGTAAAAAAAGTCACGACTGATTGAGATTAAGTTGGCTACAAATCAAACAACCGAATCGTCAATGTGTTCGAAGAACTGTCAAATCGCTTGAATGAACTACATGCAATGAAGTACTAGATTTAAAATTAAATAAAAAAAACAATTCTTCAAAACCGTTTCGTTTGATTAAAGATGAATTAATATGTTTTTAAAATATTTAATTTATTTCATATTTTTACAAAAATTTTACTTTCATTTATCTCAATGGATTTTGGTGATGATGATTCATATTTTTGTTTTTTGAAAAAATTTCGTGCCACATTTATTTGATTTGAATTGTAAAAGACATCGGCATCAATTTCTGAACCTGGTCCCGTCATCAAACCACTCATAAATTGTTGACGATGCATTAAAACTAAATTTACATTATTTTCATTGACAATTTTGCTAACACCATTCGGACTAAAATGGTAGTTAATTATCAGTTGACTGGTAATTTCCACTTTCTTAAAAAAGCAATCTCGAAGATGTTGAAGAAGCAAAACATTACAAAAAATAGTAATTTCGTAGTGGGTTAGTGATAAGAGTTCAAGTTCAATACGATTTGAGTTCACATATGATGTGATTACGCACAACATGAAATTCGAATGTTGATCATGCCACTTGTTCGTTCATACACGCGCCACTTTCATCTCTAAATGTATAAAAATTTGGGCTGCTTTGATTAAAGTGATTAAACAATCATTCTATATTCAAATTTTGAACTCAGTAGTTCCGGGTACAAAATGATTTCGTTATTTACTTTGGTTTTTTGTGCTGGCTTAACACTTATAGCTGGTGAAGAGAATGTATTGAATTCGACAAAAAGCTCGTTCGATTTTTCGGTTGTTCTAACAAATTTCGATCAACAATTATTGGAAGCATTACACGAGAAATTGGATGAGAGGAGCGATATGCATGACAAATTGAATTTTCTACGAGTTGCAAACGAATCAATTGAGTCATTTGGAAACGTCACAACATTACAACAAAGAATTAAACAATATTCAGCTTTGATTCTCAATTTGAATATAACGTCAGTTAACACGAGTGCATTGCATCAAATTGAACAGGAACAGACTACTCTTCCTGATGAAATTTTGACCGCAAATTCTTCCAGTGCAATTAACTTTGTCTCCTCGGAATATATTTGTAATATCACATCGCTTGTAAAGGTAGATACGAATAAGTGCATAATTGTTTAATTTACGTTTCAGGTTATAAGGATGCAATCGACCTTCTCGGAGCAAAAAAAGAACAAGTATGGACTGGCAGCTTCTATGGTAATTATAATCAGCTAAACCTCTCAGATCTTGCACGATGTACACGAAATAAAATGCGCAATGTAGAGCATGCAGAAATGTTTTATTATATTTTGTGTGAATATTCATAGATTGTAATAAGCATAGCATGGCATCAGAAGCGACATTCAGTGTAACATTATCTGAGTATATAGTCCAAACAATGAATTATGAATTTCCTCCAATTTTTCGTTTATTTAATTAACGTTTCAGATAGTGCCGATGACAATGATCCTTATCGTTCTTATATCACAGGCAAATTAGTAGATAGAACGACACCTCTCCATGAAGCAGTGAAACATAGTAATAATACGCAATTCGAACGACTTGAACTATGAATTCATTTCCGATTAATTTTCAGATAATCTCTGTGTTGTCGAACTTCTAATCACACAAGGAGCTAATGTAAACGCAAGAGCTGACGAAGGAATGACGCCAATTTTCGAAGCTGCAAAAACTGGTAATAAAACATAGTCCAAAGAATGGAATTTAGCTATGATTTTCTTTCAATATTTAATTTTGTTTGATTAACTTTTCAGGAAATAAAGATGTTGCCGAACTTCTCATTAAACACGGAGCTAGTGTAAAAGCAAGAAAAACATATTCAGAAACACCTCTTCTTGTAGCTTCAGAAAATGGTAATAATACTAGCGTGTTTAACTGTTAATTTCAATGTTTCATCACTTGATTGACCTTTCAGGTAATAAGGATGTTGTAGAACTTCTCATCGAGAACGGCGGAGCTGAAATAGGCAGAAAGTCGTTAGATGATACACTTTTTAAAGCTGTGGAAAATGGTAATAATACCTGGTCTAAGAACGGAGTTAAACTTGGATTTTCTTTCAATATTTGATTTTTTTTATTAATCTTTCAGGTAATAAGGATGTCGTAGAACTTCTCATTAAACATGGAGCTGATATTCACGCAAGCGATACTTGGGGCTATACTCCTTTACATTCAGCTGCAAAATATGGTAATAGTCCAAAAAATCGAGTTAAAATAAATCATTCGATGTTTGATTGTTTTTATTAACCTTTCAGGTAATAAGGATGCCGTAGAAGTTCTTATTAAACACAGAGCTTATGTAAATGCTCAAACGGAGTATGGTAAAGTGACGCCACTCCATCAAGCTGCAGAAAATGGTAATTATCGCGTACAGCCGATACCAAACGGCCGAGTTGAACTATCAATTTCTTTCAATGCTTAATTATTTTATTAATATTCCAGGTAATAAGGATGTAGTAGAATTTCTCATCAAGCACGGAGCTAATGTATATGCTACAAATTATTACAAAGAGACGCCACTCCATGAAGCTGCAGAATATGGTAATTTTAAGAGAAAAGAAGATTTTTTCATTTGTCAATAAACCAAGTTTTTGCCATAAAAAATCGCTGAAATTTATGAAAAATAATGTTACGAATAGGATCATTCAATCATAAATTTAAAACTGGCCGTATATATGAATATCCAATTTAATCAATTTTCCAGGGAATACGGAAGCGATTGAAGTTCTACTTAGATACGGCGCCCAAATTTATGCAACAGATGCGAAGGGAAGGACACCGTTTGATGTAGCCAAAGGAGGTGATAATGCTAAATTATTTTATCGATAAAAATTTCCAATATTTATGTCAAATTCATTAATGTTTTAGATGCAAAGTCATTCATTCAGGCCAAAATTGTGACCTTTTAAATATCTTTTTCTTGGCTATGAAATGGTAAAATGAAAAGATTGAAAATAAAGATACAAAACGTCGATTAAATTTTGACTATTTTTCCATTTATTTTATTGCATTGAAAATGAATTTACAGTCTTTTTATCCAACGGATGGAAACCTCAATATACGTATCTATTGCTCTATCTGTTATTAATCGTTTCTAAAACGCGTCAAATCAAAATATTAAAACTTCACGCATTGTAGAATCGAAATCTTCGGTTTGCTGTTTGTTATCAATTTTTGTGTAATTTTGAAGATATTATTCAATCAATTTTACGATTAAAAATTAAATTTGAAAAAAAAAAATGATTAGCAAAATGCAATTTCGTGATAGTAAATAGTGTAAGAAATCGAAAATCAACTTAAATAAATAGGTGTTAAATATTAAACATCTAAAGCGAATCAAAGCGCGATTTTTATTTCATTTTTTTTCTTCATTTCTAAACGCTAGAATAGCATCCGTTATATAAAATTGACATTGTCGTTGTATGCGGTCGAATTCATAGGCAATTTTTGTCCAATATTCTCATTTTTTTTGTAAATAGACCTACAAAATGCTTATAATGGGATCAACACTTAAACGTTAGTATTTAATATAAATACTTAAATATGCAATCCGAAAGAGAAAAAAACCATTTTCTAAAATACGATATTATACCTAAATCGATTCGTTTCTCTTCTTTCTCTGTGTATAAATAGATTTTTTCTCAATGAACGTGAATATATATTATAATTGAAATTAAAAAAAAAAAATGGCAAATGGAAGTTAAAGTCTTGACAAATTATATCTTGCGGAAGTTGAGAGTTATTACAAACATTCTTTTCTTTTCTTTTTTGTTTCAAATATATATATATATATAAAGTTTGTTTGGAAAGTATTAGCAAAGCTAAACAAAACAATGCAAAAAGTAACATTAAAATGTTTGTCATTATCGTTGTTCGGTGGATGGTTCAACAAATGAAATAATACTGCTTTGACTGCTCTCTTCTTCTTCGGCAACAACTTTACGAATTGGCGCTTTTCGCACGGAGCCTCTTGTGATTTGTTGGTACAATTCATCGATAGACGACTGACTATCATTGAGAATATCTTCGGTTTCGTCGTTTTCAATGTCGGATTCGGTGGGTGCGATGGCCGTTCTTCGACCTGCTTGATTTCCACCACTGCCAAGTAGTCGTTCCTCGGCCCGAGTACGCAAGTGTCCACTATAATCATCGTCCAAATCGAAATCGCTTATTTCGGACGGTTGATATGAATTGAAAAACTGTGAACAACCATCACCGGTCAGTGTCATATTGAGATCATTATCTGGTGGTGCATACAGTTCATGACTACGTATGCTGAGCTCTGAATTTTGATAGTTGATATCACTTTCATTGGTTGGGCTCGATGTGAAATTTCGTGATATTCCATTTCGTCCAAAGTACAGACTATTTTCACTGCCGGCTGGCGTACTCTCCAAATGAATGCGACGATTTTGAAAACTATGCACAATGCCATTCGATGTGGATGGTTTAATCGGCGGAATTGGCTGTACCATTTCGTTAATATCATTAATATCACAAAGGCTCGGCGAAATTAGAACCGGACTACTGCTGGCCGGATATGATTCTTTAATCACCATCGGCATACCAGTTGGCATCGGAATGCCAAACAAACACATATTTGTGCATGAAATGCTTCGTGTTTGACTTTCGACCAGCGGACTCGCCGCGAAATCATCGCTCGGTATGACATTATTCAATGACTTGGTTTTACGAATTGGATACACAAAATCGTGCGGTTGTTGCGATGAAATTTCCAACGGCGTTGAAATATACTCTTCATTTGGATCGAGCAAAAGTAAATCGGTTTCTTCACAATCACTTGAACCATTTTGATCAATGCTATCGTTTAAATCGGTTACCGAAATGGTTGGCAAACCAATTGTATTCATTGCTTTGATTGGACTATTTGCCAGTCGTTCGATTGATACATTTCCGATGCATGTAGGTAATGTTTTTACCGATTGATCATCAATTGTCGATGTATCGGTTGGATTCGATTCATTGCACAATGGTTCAGTTTCGAGATTTTCTTCTAAATCATTTGTCGCAATCAACGATGTTTTATCATCAATTATTTCGTCTTCTTCATCGAAAATTGGCTTTTGTTTGCCATACTTATCGTCGGCTCGCATTGTTACAATTTCATGTTGTGGTTGAATTGTTTCCGGTATATTTGTGTAAATATTTGCAACCATTTGTGATGTCGATTGAACAGCGGTATTATTTATTTTCGGACGATTTTGTGTAATCGCTCGCAAATTCTCCGCACCAATTATTATACGATCCGTATCCACCAGATCGCTTTCATTACAACTGTCTGACAAAATATTTGGATTTAGGTTGGTCGATTTATTGCCGGTTAAATCGGAGTTCATTGCACCGCAACTCTCTTTGAGATTGAATGGATTGTCGGTGAAATTTTTCGGATCGACATGAATATTTGTATTATTTACTTTGCTATTTGAACTAAACATAGAGATTTGTTGTTGCCGCGGATACGATACCATCGACGATGCATCGCTCATGCTTTCCAAATCGCGATTTCGTTGCAATTCGAAGTTGTTACGTTTTTGTAGGCGTTTTTGTTTTTTGAAAAATTTACGCGCAACATTTATTTGTTTTGGATTATAAAAGACGTCGGCACCAATTTCCGACCCGGGTCCAGTCACTGAACCGCTCATAAATTGTTGGCGATGCATTAACACTAAGTTTACATTATTGCCATTGCCAATTTTACTAACACCATTCGGGCTACCGGCTCGATTTAATGTTTGACTGTTCATTTCGTAGCCTTTGAGCATGCCGTTGCTTGGTTGCCGATTTTTCGAGCATTGACTGTTCGAACGTGATGACGATCGAAGAGTGCCCGTATTTTGATGGTAGGTAACAACCGGACCAACAGTCGGCTCTATTGAATCGGAGATATTTCTCGTGCGACAACATTGTCCACGGCCAAAATTTCGACAACTTAACATACTCCATTGGTTTCGCACATCACTTCGTGCCACGCAATAGAAAAATATCAAAAATAAACCGAGGATTGTGGCCGATGTGGCGAAAACCATACTGAAAATTTCCTCTTCATATGTGATTTGATCGGCGAAGGGATTGATGCTTATCGCTGCCGAAATCCATGTGATCAGATACAAAGTCAAGACAATGATATGAGCTTTTAATTGTGCACTGTTCGAATGCTCCAGATCGTCTTGAATACTTGACGTCGGCATACTCAAACTTATGCTTTGGTAACGATCAACTGTTGCATTGTGCTGCGACAGACTCGGTTCGAGCAAATCTAAATCGACATTTTCGGTTGCTTGTGTTCCTTCCGACATGTGACCAACATCGTCCGTTGTTAGCATATTACATTTGATACAAATAAATGCGATTAATAAAAACGACAATAGAATTATGCTTGGCACATAGATCGCACCCAATGATGGACGCGAATCGAAAAAACAAAACGAATACGATGCATATTCTTGCATATTAACCGCACCACTTATACCACATATTATCATTGCAATGCCATAGCCAACGAGATACAATCCTAAAATTGGTTTCTTAATCCGTTCTTTTGGCAATTCATCCGATGGTATCGATAGATTTCGTTCAGTCGACCGTGATTTCGTGATTCGTTTGTACATGGCACTTGCACTCACGCACATCCACAATAAAACACATAGACTAAAGTAATGTATTGTAATACCAAACAATTGACAAACTCTAGAATCTTCCGTTTGATAAATGCCAACGGTAAATACGAAGCTCAACAATGACATGGTAAGCCATGTATTAAGGAGAGCATGTTTTGTGCGTCGAGCCATTTGAATTGAATTGCCAGCAGCCACATAGGTAGCAATATTAATCCATGTGCAAATGAACAAGAAAATACCACCCACGTAAAATGCTGGCGGTGACAGGCGAAAACGAGCACCAGTTCGTTCATCGTCAAAATCATTTAGGAACTTTGTATTCTGTAGAAGACCATAATAACCGAGGCGATCGCATGTGAATACGAGTAAACCGTGCAATAATTGTGGTGATTGACATCCGTCCAATGTCCATCCGCCGTTGCCATCGTTCAGCTCCTGATTCCACCAAACTGGGCGCGGTGCACTAATTTCATTGTGATACGGATAAGGGCGTAGCATTATGTAAATCGGTTCTGTTAAATTCTCAATACGTGCCGATATTTTTGCACCAATAACGCTTGATTTTACACGAAACGGCGTTGCTGTTTTATTATGTGGGAAAAATCCGCTGTCAGCAAATACAGAAACAAGCAGTTTTTGCGGTGATATTGTGGCCGGGTTAAAACCAATGGCTGAATTGAAAATCGTCGCTGGAATCTGAATCGCTGCTTCAACATGACGCTCATAAACACCAATACCCTGTCCATTCGTTGCTGAATTACATTGGAAAATTCGTTTCTCATGTTTTTCAAATGAATCCTCTGTCTTGAACCACGAACATGTGATACCAGAAAAATTGTCACCACGCACGCGAAACGTTTCCATTGCCAGATTCTCTTTTTGTGCTGGCGGATCAACAAATTCAGCTGCTGTTTCGGCTGCTTGCACTATTTTTGTGCATGCACCGTCCACATTTTGTGCATTCTGCAGTATTCTTGGCTCCAATTTCATTGTTTGTGACACAATGTCCAGAAGAATGGTTGCCAAATCTTTTTCGATTTCAACAAATTCCAAATAATTATCGATGGTTTTTGCGATAAATATTATATCCATGGGATCTCGAAATGGATTCACTCCCGACTCAATGTTTGTATAGTTTCTCAGGCGAATGGCACTCTCTAAAATGCTGCCCCGTGCAAATGAGAAATTTAATTTAGCATATTGTTCCAATACTTTGGTCATTTCATTCATATACGAGCATTGATTCGTATTCAAGTCCATCCATTCACCGGTGTTGCTGCATTGATAAGTTGCCACTGCATCATTTTCAACATCGTCCGCATCGGAACACGGTAATTTTACAATGCGACCACGTATTGTTCGGGGCCATGAGTACTTTCCTTTATTATTTGATGTTTCTTTTGCCGGACAATATGTTGTTTTCTCGGATATTATCAAAACGGATATATTTCGCGATAGGGTCGGTTGATCTGAACGCAATCGACAATCCCAAGTTCCAGTATGATTTCGCGTCACAAACGGTATGGTTAATATGGAATCTAATAGACCACTGTCGGATAAATGGTGCGCATCAAGTTGAATTGATGGGAACTTTTTGAGTGGATCAGATAAATAGATGTTTTCCGTTGAATTGGGCTCCAGAATTTGTTCACTGAAACCCCAAAAGACGTGAGATAATGCGGGTAGGTCTTCCGAATCTGTTGGTGAACCAACAGCAACACGGGGCGCACGACATCGCAACGTTAGGCGATCACCTTCGAATACGACCTGAAAAAAAAGAGAATTGGACTTGAGTTTTACGTAATAATTGGATTTAGTTTGAAGTCTACCTGATCTTGATCGGGCTTTAACTCAAGCAATGGCTGCAAAGGTGTATCACAATGTAAATCTTCGCCGACTTTCAGCTTTTTCACCAGAAGACCACGGAAAACTGGCGGTGACTCACATTTTGGTGCCGGTTGAAGCTTAACTGACATATTCGATGACCACGGAATCAACCATAGCAAATTACAATCACATGCCAACGGATTTCCAGATATGTTTCTATTCGAATATTTTCGATTGTAATTTAGATAAACATCGAAAAATTTAGAAAATTCATACTTACAATTGCTTTAGTTGTGGTAAACCATCAAAGGCACCTTGAAATATGTGTACAATTAAATTCAGCGACAATTTGAGCTTCTCCAACGATTTGATTTCACCGAATGTGTTATTGTCGATGGTTCGCAGCGAATTTTCACCCAAATCCAAACGACGTAGATTTGTGAAATTCGCAAAATCAACAACATCAATGGTAGATATTTGATTTTTACTCAAATCCCTATGTGAATCACAGAAGAAAAGCAGAAAATATGTGTAAGAAGACGTTTTAACACTTTTACACGTAAAAAATGGTACAATGCACATGCATTTTGAATTAAATTGAAAAATTCACATAAAGAAGAAGAAGTTTCGAACAAAAAAAAAAAAAAATGATAACCACAAGTAAAATATAGTAGTTTTCAGGCAATGAATCATCATTTGTCACCACAAAAACAGACACATTCTTCATTCGTCTGGTAATTTGCAAAAAATCATAACTTCTTTCATATTGAAAAAAAAAACACAAATCTTTTGCATAAACTTACAATTGAACCACATCGTATTTGATATTATCAAAGTTTATCTCTTTGATGCTGGTGAGTTTGTTTTGTGGTAAACCGCCGCACTTAACTTTCAATAGACTTCCATTGTCGTTGATTTTACGGCAAGCGCATTTTTCGGGGCAATCACTATAATTATTTTCGATATTTTCGGCATAAATAAATCGCACACTGGCACAAACCAACAATAAAATAAATAAATTATTGGGCATTATGAGCAGCACACCAAAACTGGTTCACGCAACACACCGCATTGAAAACCAGTGCTGAACAGAAATACACAATCTGTTTATAATCAGCGCAATGCACTGTGTATATGTACAAATCCACCCGAAAATCAATATGATACCGAAATATATAAATCAAAACGAAAATCAAACCGAAATTAAACTGAAAACTATCGCGCAATTGACTTTAAACAATGATGCACAACAATTCCCAAAAGTTAAATAATTGTTCATGTTCTACATTGTTCGCGGAGTATTTTTTTGGGAATTGCATTTAATCCTACTAATAACAGACGCAAACAGCATCATTGTGTGTAATCAACATCGACGAATCAATTTATTTCTTCTATTCATTTTCACTTGCACTTGTTTCACAAAATTATAAAATGCATCCACAAAATACGGCACCGAAAACACTTTTCGAAGAATTTAATGTGAACAAAATGGGGCAAACAACTGAAACGAAAAAGAATGATGTTTTTATGAGTTTATTTTTTCCTGGGATGGTGTTCTCTTCGTTAGTTTGCTTGTTCTACGACTTTCGGTTCATTGTTTGATGTATACACACACACACGCATTTGCATCTCTTCGTTTATTCGGCGCATTTTTGTTTGTATGTGTGAACGTATGTTTCCTGCGTACGTGCGTTCATTTGTATTGATGTAATCGCTAGTGGTTCAATATCAGCAACTTCACTTTGGAACTCACTCTGTGTTTGACTTTGACAGTTGAACGTAACAGATTATGTGCTTGAGATTGACACTCGAAAATCGTACTAAATCGTCTAGTGTGTATATATATGTCTCATACAAGGCCATACGGTGTTGGTGAAAGAAAAAAGAAGAAAGAGATCGCAGTGAAGACATGTTAGAGATTGTGTCATATCAAAAACAATAACAATCGATTTGTGCACGCGATACAATAAAAAAAGAGAATAGAAATGTTTAGTTTACGGAGGACAGCGTTTCAAACGCTAAAACTAGTCAATAATTCAATAAAATTACAAAGTGTATCCAATCAGAATCAAGTCAAACATATCAATGCCATACGGCTGACGCAATCGATCCAATTTTATTCGAAAGATTTAAAAACAAAGACCAAATCGAATGATGCAAAAGACACATTCCCGAAAACGATTGGCGAAGCAAGCCGGGAACTGCAGGCAGAAACACAATCGGAATTGGGCAAAATTGAAACGAAATTGTACTTGGCGTACACGTGCAAGGTGTGTAATACACGAAACAGCAAAACAATTTCAAAAATAGCTTATTCACAAGGTGTTGTCATTGTACGCTGTGATAAATGCCTAAATAATCACCTAATTGCTGACAATCTCAATTGGTTCACTGATATGAATGGCAAAAAGAATATCGAAGATATTTTAGCCGAAAAGGGTGAAAAAGTTCAACGCATTTCGACGGAAGAATTTTTGAAAAATAAAGAACAAATGGCAGGAGATGAGAAAAACACCAACGTTAAATTGAAGGACGATTGTGATGAGAACGCTCAGGCGGTGGAAGGGGGTGACAATAGACCAGCACTTTTGCAAGACATCTCGAAAAAAGCTCAGACAATCAAACACAAAGTGTCCGAAATATTGGGAACCAAAAAGTAGAAAATTTAATTAGAATAAGCCGTATCACTGATAATTGGATTCGTACGAGGAGCATACTAGGTCTACTTTTCAGTAATAATCCAATAATCCAATCACTGATAAGCTATCAGCTCGAATAGCATAGATACTTGAAAAGTGGAGCTTCTTTAAAGCAGATGCAATATGAATTGATAGAATTCCATTTATTTTCCATAGATTTGAATTGTTGTTGGTTACTACTACAAATAATTCCGTTGAAAAAATTTCAAAAAAAAGCAGACAGAAAAGAAGGTCAAGAAAATTGAAATTATTCTTAGTTACAAAATGAAATGTATAGATTAATCCATCACTTAATACTTACTTTGTATTGAATGCTTTTGTTATGCTTAAAGTACAAGTTGTTATATATGTCTAGGTCACAAGAAACTCAGTAGTCTTTATACTAATAGATTATGGCAATTCACATTCAAAACTCTTAAAAATAGCGACTTATCAAAACCGCAACACTAAGTCTACTTACTTGATTCCGTTTTACGTGGCGATAAATTGTATTTTAATTATATCAACCTTTTTCATATAAAATACAATGTCTTTGTAAAAAAAATATTTTTTTTTTTACTTTTGAATGAAGAAACTGAACTAAATATGACTCTTACTGCGAATAATTTTATAAACACATATTCGACGAATAAAATGCTCTTCCTAATGAAAATGCAAAAAAAAAAAAAAAACGAAAAAATTGTTGTTTGAAAAATTAAAAATATTCTCTTTAATTATAACAGATGTTATCGATGCCAATATCTCTTCGTCCACTGTGTAGGTGATGGAATTATAACTATTTTCGAAGGGTAATCTGATCTTAAAATGTTTTTGTTGAATTATTCATCTGTCTTTCGTGCCAATTAATACCTATGGTTATTTTTATCTCAATTTTCTCTGCCACAGCCGAAATCGGATTGTAAAAAAATAGTTTGATCAAATTCAATATTCAAATGGTTCAATAACCACATATTAATAAATATTCATGTCTCCTCTTTTCTATTCAAACGAACAATTAGCCGCGGGCTGGATTTAGACGAAAGGCAATGTATGACAGTGATACGGAGATGAAGAAAGAAGAAAAAAGTGAAGATCCAGTTATGCTACTTTTCTTTACCTTTTTTTCTGTTATTAATGTGTGTTTATGATTCATAAACAGTCACCAGCTTACCGTATAATGATTGCGCTATATTGTTATTCCGTTGCGGTTGAAAGTACTTTTCAACCAGACTGTTTTATAATAATGAAAAAGAACGTGAAATGATAAACGAATGAATCATGTCCGCTTCAACATGGTTTTCATGCTTCGATGGTGTTCAACAAACATTCCATCTCTTCCAATTTACAATTAGATGTTTTAGATAAAAATGCACTCAGACGATTTGTCTCTGCTCCGAAAAGAAAAAAAATCAACAGATGCGATAAATACTTTTCATTATTTCTCTATATCGTTTAATAAAAAGGGATATAAAATGTGAAAATTCTCAAATAAATTCTATATTTAATGCATTTTTTTTAAAATACAATGTAATGACTAAAAGCAGTAAAATTATTAAATGTTTATACTTAATGGAAAGGCTTAAATAATACATTGTGTGGAATTTGTGCAGCAAACACTTTGTGCCATTCGAATGCATTTTACCTGATTTTACACAGTTACATTGCCGCATGCATTCACACCGCCGCTGCTGTATGTGTACAATTTGTTTTATGGGTGGCACAATATATCTGATTGCTTTAGTAAAGTCTCAAATTTTAAATGTCTTTCTACATATTATTGACATAATTATTTCGAGTTATGTAAAATTGAAAATAAATGGTTTACAAAAAAATTAAGTAGTTATTTGATATTTTTAGTAGCTATTTTTTGTATCGGTTTTAGAGACTGTGAATATATGGCAAAAAATACGATAAACAATTCCCATATAACTCATTTGCGGAGTAATTTTATCGATGACGGGACTGTGCGGAGTTCAGCGGAGATAGCATGCAAATGCTGTGTGTACGAGTGCAACAGCGTTCTTTGCTGTTCATAGATTTATTTTGTCCAATCGTACATCTTAGTAGCCGTACACACAGCTAAGTTACTAATAATCTGCGTAAGAATGATACACATAGAAGTGCTGTTACCCTCGTACACACAGAGTTTGTATGTCATCTCCGCCAAACTCCACACAGTCCCGCCACCGTCAAAATTACTCCGCAAATGAATTATATGGGTTTGCTACAAATATTTCCCTTTTTCCAGCATCACGTATTGTTTTCTCCTTTTTTTTGTAAATAATTCTTCTTCTTGTATTTACATATCGAAAATTGCATTCTAATAATAAACAAAATCAAACAGTAGAATTTATGCATTTAATTATTTTTTTTTTTCATTTCATCACAGTCAAATGCCAATTGGTGCAATATTTCCACAAAAAAAAAATCTTTAATTTATATTCGCTGTCAGCGATTAATTTGGAAATGTGTAAAAAAAAATCGCACGCACTCATTCAAAACGAAAATAATTTATAATTTTAATTAAAAAAACGAAAAATAATGAAATGTCGTTGGGTACGAAATTGCCAAAAACTTACACAATTTACACTTGAAACAATTTACATTTTTTAATATAGCTTCAATTTCTATAGCTGCAAAACCAGAGTCAATTTTGAAATCGAAAATAAAAATTTCATTTTTATCCGAATTATGTGGAACATAGGGTCATTTTACTTAATGCTTTAATGACTATAGAATAATGGTATTGACTAAAATATGAGTGCTTTTTATTTAAGACAATTTTCTTAAATGATAAATAATGGAAAGTACAATAGCTGAAATGCTTACAGGTCTTTTAAATGTTTTCACACAGAATGTATGGCTAGTGTTTAAATTTCGTGTTTTGTCTTCCATATTTTTAGCTGTAGTGCATAAATTTCGCTCGAAATTTAAACTTGATTGGATTTATTGACAATGGCATAATTCAAACCGTTGAATTTGCGATGATTAATGAGATCGTCAACGCTGCTTGACGATGATGCTGTTGCGATGCCGACGGCATCGCATTGTAGCATTTGTGGTGATTTCGGCGATATATTATTGTTTGTGCCGGGTTTTCGAAGTACACCATATCCAATGTGACTGTCGTCGGCCAAACGATATGCTTTTGGTTCGACATTTGTATTCACACAATTTGTAATCGTTGCACAATCGCCAATTATTTCATAATCATTCGATGATAACGGTTGCGATGTTTGTTTCTTATACGCCGGCGTTGTAATTGTAACAATGGTTCGATAATCACTTGCTGGATTTCGTTTTTTAGGTGCAAAATGATCAAGTGTATCGTATTCAATGTCTTTTTTCTTCATCGACAACTCCTCGGCATCATGATATGCAACCGTTATTGGTATTCTACGCGTTGAAGTAAACTCCTTCTGGGACTGAGAACGTTGCCACACAAAATCGGTAAAATCATCATCGGCTGTGCACAAATTTTCCGTATGCTTAACATCACTCACTCCCATTGTTTTCCATGCGCTTGTTATATTTTCGATGCGTTCGTAATTGCGATCGTCTTGCATACTTTCATAGCGTGCCGGTATTCGAGGCGGTTGATCAACGACCGGAGAATGAACCGGTGATTTCATTGAATTGCCAACGCCATTGCTTGGGATCGGTGATGTTGGCAATGGTGGCGGTGGTGGTGATGATTTAAGTGTGATCGATGTTGGTTTTGAATGATCGTTGGTGCCACTTTGGGCCAACGAAACTGGTTCATAATCTTGATACTTGGATGATTTCGGTGATGGTTTTGGCGGTACATCTGCCCTATGTTTGCCATTATTTTCAGAGGAGCCAGGAAGTGACTTTCGCGGTGGTTTGCATGGTGTTATCTTCATAATTGTTGGCGGTATACTTGATGATGTTGTCGTTGTGCTCATCGACATATTGTTCAATGAATCGGTCGACGATAGAAAACCGTGCAGCAAATGACTGTTTTGACTTTGACTATTGTCGCCGTAGCTTTGATTCGGTGACGGTGGTAGGGGTGAACGCGAACCGGCCTCCATCGATAGAGCAGCAGTAAATTGATGTTCACCACAATCCAAACTACCGATGCCATTTTCACCGTTAATCAGTTTTTTCATTGATTTCATTTTGGCACCCATGCATCGAAACACTTCATGCGGATTTGTATGCTGAAATTTAAATTCACCTTCGCCCGTATCACATTTTCGTCCCGCTTCGAATGTAAATTTACCATCACGATAGCCATACTTGCGAATATATCGATATGGCCACTGTGTAACTAATGTCACCCCGTTTACTTCTAAATATTTTAATTGAATTTCCGTAGCTGTCAATTGTAGTGTAAATGTTGTTGGAATTGGTTTATCATTTTCAATATGCAACGCTTTTTCAATGGAATATTTAAGATTTGTTGCATCAGCGGTTTGTAAAATAACCGTGAATATACCATCCGAATACGAGGTACAATAGAGATCATTTTCTTCTTCACGCGCCGAATTGGTGCGCACCATTGTATTCGCTTTGTCTTTGAATGCGACATTTTGTAATGCTTCTATCCATCGTTTCAGATCGGTTTCGTTAAGCGCAAACAAGGTCAATGTGTCATTTGTCTTTTTTACGATATTTATTTGATTGGCTGGTGGTGGTTCTTGGGTGATTTTTACACAATTTTCCAATGTTATGATTCTCGGATTTTTATCATCTTCTTTGTCCAATATCTCCAAACGTTCGATACCCTGATGACTGGCCCGAAATAGAACGCATTGCTTTTGCAGCGATTTCTGAAAGAAAAAAAAAAGAATCGTATTATTAGAATATGTAGAAACTTTATGTAGAATTTTGTAGTCAAAATTTTATGTGGCCGAAATAAGAAATAAATTACATGCAAATATGCCTAAAATCACCGCACATGTATCATTTGTCTTTTTGATCACCCTGTGATGCTATTTCCTCTCTGATTTTTGACATTATACGTTTTGCAAGCGTTCACCGCTTTTGAAAACATACATATGGACTTTCACTCACATTGAGAGAATTGAGAGAAGGCAAAATATAAAAAAACAAACAAAAGTCTACATACATGGATTTGGACCTATGGTGAACAACAAAGTGTCCAATACACACGCTCACACATACCATATATGTGTGTATAAGTATATTCATACATGCACACTCTTCTGCTGCAAAAAATAAAATAAAGGAACGGGCCAACAACAATAGCATCATATGAACAAAAAAACATACTCATACAGAGAGATCGAGCGAAAGAGAATTGCGAGAAGAAAAACGAAGTTGTGAAATTAAAATGTACACGTCAAAGATATATCGTTGGAAAAGGAAACGAAACGACTAAATGGATAAATCATGTACCTATATTGAAAATTGGGATTTTCCATGTAATTAGAACCTTTTTGTAAAAATGAAACGACAAAATTGGGCAGACAATTATAGGCTAATGCCTACAAACACGAAATGTGACACTAAAACAAACTTCACACTGAATTGGATGATTTTTTTTGTTATTGTAAAATGCTCAAGCTATTATCGTCACGAATAAGAGATCTGCGATCTTATCAATGTTATCATATTTGCGTAAAAATGAACAAATGGGTGATCTCACTTCGACTCAACTAGTTTTTTCGTTGCTGTTTCCAAACTCATACTCATAAATATATTATTTTCAATTACCTTTTTTGAAATGAGATTGAATGATGAGAACGATGATTGTGGTACGATTAAAGTACCTTTCAAGATGGGAATTTCCATTGTTTTTAAAATGAAGAAAATATCACAACTATTTGCACATGAGTCCACAATTGGTTGATGAGGGCATCGGCACTCAAATTTCGATCGAATTAATTGCCGTTTTATTTGTTAAATTATTATGTCACTTTCGAATTCTAGAACATTTGAAATGTCGTGGTCAAACGACGAAACACTGTTTATATCGCGCGCGCGTAACAATGCTCAAGACACATATGCGGTGTATTCCAAAATAATAGTTGATCGTTTGTTTTCATTAATTATATAGTTTGCACACACAATCTCTCACTCTCATATACACGCACCAAGTCGCTTAAGTCGTAGCTGCATTTAAATGCCGTTCTTTTTCGAACAAATACTTTGTGTTTCAATAATAAAGGCAATGGCCATTTTGGTTAAGTTGAATTGCAATAAAAGAAAATATACATATACTTTTTTTTCTTGTTCGGTATCGTTGAGCACATCGACCATTTAAAAGGTTTAACAAGGCACAATACAAAAGAAATATGGCACGGGTGAAAAATAACGAAAGATTAAATTTATGAATGCATATACGCAAATTGACCTGCCAGCCACCCAAAAAAGGCAAACACACCACAAGTCAAAGAGGAAGAAAAAAAAGACACACACAAACGATACATAAAATTAATTTTGCATTTGAGTGTTTCGACTTTTCTCTTTCTACGTTTGCTGTTGCTGCTGCTGTCACTTTTGTGTGCCTGCTATTTGGCGTGTGTGTAAAAAATTCGTCGTTTCGGTGTTCGGTCTTTGTATGTTGTGTAGCTGTTTTTCTTTTCTCTTCGTTCGTTCGTTCGTTGTCGTTCTTGTTGTCGTTGATGTGCTTTTTTTTATTTGTGTCTCGTTCGTTTTTTTCTCTCTTTCTATTGCGTTGTTTGGCCGTATTTTTGCTCAGTTTTTCTTCAATGCGTATATAATTTCACATGTAATACGTTTTTTTTCTCTAGTTTTTGCTTCGTCTTTTCATTTCTGTGCATACACACAGATCGAGAGACACAAACACACATGCACATTCAACACTGCGATCGATTTATTGGTTTCTCTTTGCATTCACTCCAGTAGGTGATTTAGCACTTGGCTTTGTTCGCATCAGTCAAAATATTTGCCCATCAACATATACGCAAAGAAGCTAATTATGTATTTGATATTGAACTTAGTTAGTTAAAAAAAAATTAATTACACTACAGTTCATGCATATGGACACCGATTAGAATAAACAACATTGGCAACACAAATATTTCGATTGTGAAATGGCATAAAACAAACGATCATATGTATGTGCGTTGCCAGTGTACACACGAAATTGCGCTTATCGTTTTTAAATATAATCAACCGAAAAATGCACCAAACGCCAGTTCAAAATAAGAATTCTTTATTGTTATAGCTAGTGTTGAGCAGCGCCTTTGCTTCTTTCGATGTTTATTAATTCTCATTTGGCTTATTATTTGTTATGTATGTTCTTTTCCAGTTTTGACTCGCTTCAAATTTCCCTATTTTATGTTTCACTATTATTTTTATTTTACTTCAAGCCATCATCGTTCGATCTGGTATACGCGGGAGTGTTATTACAACGACACTTGTACCGATTTTATACTTGTTCAAGCTCTCTATTTAAACCTCTAGCACACATTCAACTCGATATGAACACGATCGAAATCGAAATGTACGACTTATCTGGTTCTACAGACACTATACTCCACAGCACCATACTCCATCGCATGTCGTTCTCTCTTTCTTTTCCATTTTCGCTAACATGTGTAAGTATTTACATTTACACACATATGTAGTGATTGTCACAGTGATCGGTTGGTTGAATGTGTGTTACACTGGTTGAATACACTGTTCGAAATTCGAAACATTCTTAAATTGATTTGATCATGTGTGATCTGGCGTAACGCAGATTTGTTGCTTTTTCCTCTATTATTTAATCAGCGCTTTCAGTTCGGCGAAGTGACAACTTTCCATTGACCCTTGACGAAACGGATAATAATTGTGTCAATTTCAAAAACCATCTTTTTCCAGTGAATTCTATTATTATTGAAACATGTCACACAATAGAGAATGTACGTATTCAAATTATAGCTATCATTTCGATTTAAATGTAGTATGATTCATCAACAGAACAGAATATATTCTGTTCCGGGCCTATTGTTTCAAACTTGGATGCATTTATTACATGCTCAGACGACACGGTCAGTTACATAATAAAAGAATACACGATAAGAACATGAATCACGCATCGTTTTATCGCGACAATTGTGGGTGAGGAAGAGCGAGACATTGGAATGTTGCATTCAATTTTCGATTAAATTGATACACATACCTACAGGTAACTATACCAAACAAATTTTTTTCTCAAGTTTCACGACATTGAAGAAGACAGTACAAGCGAGTTTATATCTGAAAAAATGTTAACATCTTCCGATAAAACACATTTAGGACTATAAAAGGTAGACAAAAAACAGTCACAAATAGAATATGAGAGAAAAAAAGATCGAAAAGGGATGAGCGCAGTCTTTTATTGATTAGAAATTATCATTTGTTACAAACGGCTTTGACGAAACATGTTCTTATCAAAAAGGTTAATTAATTTGTTAATTTTGATAATAAATGTGTAAGAATGTTTTTCAATGAATCGTGAAAGAGACTCTATCTGAATCAATTCAAAATCAACTAAATGGACATTTGATAAGGTTCCAAGTGCTAAAAAACTAGGTCACTGTCTGCTTTGTTTATGCCAAATATTCTTTGTTCAGAACGATAAAAATGTACCGTGGTTATTCACCATTCCGAAGCCAAAAACTGTCCATAATGGTACAAGTAATTTATTTGTGTGTCAACCAAGCTAAATTCATGTGTATTTCTAAATTCATGTGTATGTGTCGAGGAAAAAATGTCCGAGATTTTATCGAGTGTCAATGTCAATTGAAAACGCTACAAAATAAATAGCATTCAAAACATATGTTCAGAAAATTTGTTTCATATTCGCTTTACATAAATAAAAAATGATATCAAACAATGCACTGTTTATCTAGTGTCATAAACGTAAACTGAAATATTCAAAGTGATAAGTGTGAGTGAAATCGATGTAAACACAGCAATTTTGCTCAAAAAATCCACTCAAAGCGATAAAAATAAATGATCTCCATTTGGGAGAAAAAGAGTAAGAACACTAAAACTAAAAAAAGACAACAATAGAGTGTCGACTCACAATGGTTGTGCAACACACCGGGCATTGATGTGTATAGAAATTGAACTCATAGTCACACAACACTTTAGTTGCATATTGACGTCGTGACAATTCGTACGATGTTATTTTAGCCAGTACACACATTTAAATTTGCAAAATTTAAGAATTTTAGTTGACATTTCGTTCTTTTGAAATTAAAAATTGTGTTCAAAGATATTTTTTCGTATTTTTTTTTACTCAAAACTATCAAAATAATAGACTTCCAGTGAATTTTAAATTTTAAGCAAAGAAGAAATGAGTTTGAAAAGAATTTAGAATTTTCGATTTGTATGCTATTCATTCCATCGCAGTGAAACACTCTTTATTCTTGAGACTTTCAATTGTTTCAAATCATGAAAATAACATCGTACCATTCGACTAAACCTACGAAAAAATTTCAAGAAACAAAATGCTCGACTCCGAAAAAAGTCAGCTCATGTAGACGACAGAGCGTCATTGAGGTGTGTTTCAAATTCCAAGTTTTTTGCTCGTTTTTGTTCATTTTACACCGAGTACGTTTTTTGCATTACCCTCTGCACATTTTGCTTTGTTCTTGTATTATTATTTTCATTAAATCAATTTATAAAAAGCATTTAGCTCAAAACATATTGAACGCGATTGTGACAAGAAAATATTATGATAAAAACAATATTTCGCAAATGAATTCCTGGATAATTTATTGCTGAGGCGATAAATGAGCAAGAATTGCGAGTTATGTGGAAATATATGAAAATAGATTTATTATATATGATATTTTTTACTTTCTTTTTTTTTACTTGTGTATAACCAGGCTGCCAAACTAAAAATTCCCGTAACATCTGAAAACGATGAGTTTGATCTATGGGATCATAACAGAGGTTTGGGTAAAAATAGGTACGTAAAATATTAAGTAATAATAATAATGTTAATAGATGAATAAATGTCTTTTGTGTCATCTGCTAGGAAACCACGCACGTGTTGGTCGCCAGTGCTCATTCTCACCGTCATTGTGATGCTTGTGATGATATCGCTATTCCTTCCAAATGGTGCATTAACCGCTTTCAAGGATAAAATATTTGGTCATCAAGTGAATGAAGTAGAGCCAAACATATGCTTAAGCTCATGCAAGTAAGAATAATTTGGATCACCATTTTGTTTTTCAAAAAATGATTTAATTTGACTTTTTCCCTTTCAAATAGTATCGAATTGGTTGAAAGTATTCCCGAGGGTTTGGTTTATCCCGACAAAAGTCCTTTATTTCAGTCAACATACAAAGCTTGGAATCGCCTCATTGGATTGGCCAATAAAACAATAAACATTGGTTCATTTTATTGGACACTACGCGGAGCGGACTTTTACAATCATTCGTCTGCGTGGCAAGGTGAAAGTATTTTCCAGAATCTATTGTTGGCTGGCACAAAAACTGGCATCAAAATTCGTATTGCACAAAGTCAACCGTCAAATGTTTCACCAAATTTGGACACCGAAATATTGATAAAGCAGAAAGCAGCTGAAGTTCGTTCGTTAGACTTTCCAAAATTAGTTGGTGGTGGTGTACTGCATACCAAACTATGGATCGTCGATGGGAAGCATATGTATGTTGGAAGTGCCAACATGGATTGGAGATCACTAACTCAGGTTTGACTAGTCGAACATTATGTGAAACATTCATTCATTTGTTGTTCGAAAAAGGGCGCTGAACGACACTCGAATGAGTTACTGTTATCAATTAAAAAAAATTATCACTAATTTGTAAATTCTCTTTTCGCTCATTCTGACTCGTATTTTGTATAGGTTAAAGAGCTTGGAGTATTGATAACCGATTGCTCGTGCCTCGTTGATGACGTTTCAAAGATTTTCAATGTATACTGGGATATGGGCAAAAAGAATGCAAAAATTCCACAAAATTGGCCAATCGAGTACAGTACAAAGATAAATGCTTCGAATCCAGTTCCAGTCGATTTCAATAATCAATATAAAATGAACACATTTTTTTCGGTAAGGCAACCAGCTTTTTTTTACTCCTGAATCATCCACTAATCGGTAATTATTTCAGAGTTCACCGCCACCAATGAGCCCCGACGGTAGATCACAGGACATCGATGCCATTGTAAATGTGATTCAAAACGCTGAACAATTCATTCATATCTCGGTGATGGACTATTTACCCATGTTTGAATATACGGCAAGACCGAAGTACGTTTAGTCAATATTTTCTCAAAAAAAATCCCATTTCATTTGATTCGAATTGTTTTTGTAGATTTTGGCCAATAATCGACGATGCACTGCGTGCGGCTGCAATTGAAAGACGTGTGTCGGTGAAGCTATTGATTTCATGGTGGAAACATTCAAGACCAGCTCAAGATTTCTTCTTGAATTCACTGAAGGTCATTTCGAACTCATATCGTGGTGTTGACATTCAAGTGGTAAGATTCTGTCAAAATTGAATTACTTTCAAAGGGTAAAATGTGTCCGATGCCATTTCAGAGACGATTCATTTGCCCGGCGACAGATGATCAATCACAAATTCCATTTGGACGCGTCAATCACAATAAGTACATGGTGACTGATAATACGGCTTATATTGGAACATCAAATTGGTCGGCCGACTATTTCGTCGATACGGCTGGCATTGGATTAGTAATGGAGGAAAGATCAGACAGAAATGAGACTGTGCAGTCGATACGCAGAGATTTAGCCAGTGTGTTTGAACGAGACTGGAATAGTGCGTATGCTGTTGAACTGAAAATACCACCGACAGATTAGATACACATGTACCTGTACTACATGACCATTTATTATAATCTCATTCGTCATTTTTATATCATGATTCGTATTTAAATTATCATTCAACTCAATTTTTTCAGTCACAACATTTATATTTCAACTTTGTATAATTTGTTAAATTGTGTGTTTTTCTTTTGAATTTTCATGTTGAAAATTCAATTAATTTTGATGATAATAAAAAAATAATTCAGGTTCCCAATACTACTAATTGTATTTTAAAATTTGACTACATCTCAGTAGAAAATTCAGAATCTAAATCTTGCCAAAAACTTCACCACACCCTGAGATGAACACCTAGTAATGTATTAATTTTGAATGAGCTTTGTGAGCTTGAGATATTGCTTGCACCTTGTGTCTTCCATTGTTCTTCCCTCTAAAAATGTATTCGAAACAATATTTTTGTCTTCAAGTTTTCGCTTTTATTAAATCTCATTTACAATGAGGCAGAGGTACATTTTTCAATTTGGATCGTTTAATATTTTTAATATCAATATATAAATATTCAAAAGTCGTTTCCTATATATTTATGTTTCCTGTATGTTTCAATATTTTCGAATTTTTTTTTTCCCTCGGTGGTTCCACCCATTTTCTATGACGATTTTGATCAATTTTTAGAAAAAAATATCTCATGAGATCGTTTCTTAGAAACAAATTTTGATTTTTGATTGATCTACAATTTAATGACGAAAATAAATATATAAAAAGAAAAAAGAAAAAACATGAAATTTGTTCTAAACAATTGGATAACAATAACATGTGAACAAAATGAATTCATTTGTAAACGTACAGAACATAAATGATTGTTTTATATGGTTAGGTAATCTTGCGACATCGAATCAAAATAACAAAACCAAAATATACAATTTGATCAATGATGAAATCAATACAATTGAAAGGATTATGGCGACTGATCAGTTTTGGCCTTTGATTTGAGTGTGATGATGGCTGGCTTGTACGTTCGCATCGACAGGTCTTCAAAACATTTTTCGACAATTCCTCCATCGATACAAATAGTCAACGGCTCATCCGGATTGATTTCCTTTCGAATTTTCACCAATCTCTTATAGAATGCTGCCGAAAATGACGTTACCTTACAGTCGATATTCAAACAGCGTAAGTTTCGAGCCTTTTTAGTCAAAGAGACGATCGGAGCTTGTTTCATCGAACTTGATCGGATCTTGTTTTTTTTCGGACCAACGTCAAAAGTGCACTCCTTCAATCCAGTGAGATGCTCAGCCATTTGATCCATCAACTGTGAGTTGGCTTCATCATAATCCACTAGTCTAAAAAAAAACAAGCGAAAAATTAATTTGAATTGTCGTCAATTGTTTGAAATGTTACCAACCTAAGTGAATTCACATTTTTGAGCTGGCGCAATTGCGTAACATCGATCGGATCGATTATACTCTGTTTCGGGCCACCAGTCGACAATTCCAAGTGTTTGATTGTATTCGATTTGGCCAAAATGCGAAATATTTCACCGCTGAAATGAAAGCCAAATCATAAAATCGACAAAAAAAGAGAAAAAGGTAAATTTAACAATACCAATTGTTGAAGTTCGGCGCACTTGATTTCAAGCGAAATTCCTTCAAGTTGGTGAATGCATTCAGGTGCTTCCATTTTTCCCGAATGCCTACCGTGTTCCAGTTGTTGTTGTTGTTGTCAACCATTGTATTTTCCACCACACCAATACGCTGAACCATCGGTACATAGCGTGACAATTCAACCATAACCGTCTCACGATTGTGACCAAGGTATTCGAAATTTGTCAAAGCGATCGGTTTGCTAGCGAGGTATGTCTTCAAATGATTGATCGATTCGGTGAACCATGGGTGTGCCGTAAACCAGTTGGTTTGAAACATACATATGTGCAAATTTTGCAAATTGGGAAAGTTTTCCTTAGAAAGCCAATCGCCAACGATATGCATACAGTGTAAATTTAATTCGCGGAGATTTTGCTTTGGAATCCATTTCATGAAATCGTCGAAATATTGTGGGCCGTGTGGCCAAGTCGATTGAGAAATTTGAAATGTTTGCAGTTCGGTAAAAAACGGTCGTACGGCGTCTAAAAGTGCTGGTTCAACGAACATAATGCAATTATGAAAACCGGCCAAGCTCAATTGTTGTAATTTTCCAGGCGTACAATATTCCTTGATCAAGTGCAAGAATTCAGCCAGCGGTGAACAGCCGGGACGTACCCATTGAATGTCATTTGCCGCGAACTCGATTCGAGTCATCGATTTGCCAAACAATTTGAACACCTTTTGAATCGAAATAGTTGGTGATAGTTCACCAAATCGTATGGTTTTCAATGGAATCACATGGTCTGTGATGAGATTTTTGTATCGTTCACCGGTTTTGCACACTGACATCAGACTGATGATGTCTAAATAGTCGAATACACTCATTAAACAGTCATTGTTTACATCAGCCATCAACAAGTTCGATGTAACCAAAGGTAGTTTTTTTATACTTTTGACGCGAACACCCTTCCTTTTCGTCTTCGGTGACTCGACGCGTTTTACCATATTGACTGATTTTATCTGTAAATAAAAGCAAACGTCGAATTTTAGTGAATTGCTTTCACACCGATGCTTGGCGGCATCAAGTTGATGCGACAACAAAACAACGGTTAATTTATTTAAAAAAAAACTATTGAAGTTGCCGAAATGCCGTAACTAAAAATGAAAAAAAAAAAAAATGCAAGAGAAAATTTACGACGTGAAAGTTCCCTCATCACTACAAGGCGATGTATTAATTGCAAAATTACATAGTATACAAATGCACGTTGCCGCATCCAATAAATTGTGGTTATGTTTTAATATTGTTTAAGCGCAAAAAAAGTGTGCAACATTAGTATGAAGTGCGAATGTTTTTATCAATGAAAAAAACATTGTTGAACAATTGCACAATTGACGATTTAGATTTTGATTCAATTACAATTCATATTGTTATTTACCCGATAAAACAAACATTTTATTTCATCTCTTCGATTTCTTGTTTCTTTATGCAAATTTATAGGAATCATTTAACGTTCGCAGAAAAAGCATCAAAACTAGTATAGTATTTGTTGATTTGCAAATCACAAGAATGTCATTTACAAAATGTGAAAAACACTTACCCTTTTTCGTATCAAATGATAATTGTGTTTACGGTTTCGTTGCCTTCGTGACTTCGTTCTTAACTGATTGACGACTCACATGAAATTGTGTTGACACCACGACATTTTTGCCAACGATGTGCCAATTGCTATATTGTGCACACCTCAGAGCATTAGAATGAAAGAAAAGATGCTGTAACATTATGACGAGAGTGCAAAGACAAAACGACGCCGCGCGCACACAATCAAAATATGTTAATAGCGAGCCTGTTGCGCATTTGTCTCGGTAAATTCGGATGCATAACACTTGAGACACCGACTTGATGAAAATATCGTTTGTTTATCTCGAGTTCACCGCACATTCATCGTAAACATTCTTGGGCATGGTTTTGGAATTGAAAAATTGAAACGATGCACTTTATGAAACGTTCACAGATTGCTGGGAAGATGCTTTTTGAATGACTTGAAGGAAGATGACTGGAATCTTGTTAGAATCTTGTAACATTATGATTGGCATCTTTTGAATGATCAAGAGGCAGTATGAAATCCAATCATATTTTTTTTAACCAACCATTTCTGAAGATAAAATAAGCTTGAGTATCATTTATCATCGTGTCGTTTTGATTGAAATAATCACAAGCTATGCAGTTTGTGTCTTTGATCGTGCAACTTGATAGTGAGTATGCAATCGGACATTTCATCGGTTGGTGTCACAAAGTGGTATAATTAAAAGATGATAAGTTGCTTATCAATTGTACTTTGATGCAATGTGATGCAATTCCGATGATGCAAAACTCTTGATATCAAATGAAATTCCGTCCAATTTTGTACTTTTTATAGATAATAATATTTCTCATAAATGATATCGATCTTCATGAATTTCTTAAAGTTAGAAATATGTCATAATTGGTAGAGTCAAGTAAACTTTTGGTTTAAATTATTGCGATGATGTGGAAATGAAAGGAAAACTATCAAATTGTGATATATTTTGAAATCCAAATGTTTTAGTTTTATTCAAATTCGAATTGCATATGAAAGTTCCATAATGAAACGACAAGTACACTTGACATTTCGAAGTTGGATGAAGTAAAAGTAGTTATTTCAATAACCGTAAATTTCTGCATTGTATTTGAAGTAAAGAGTTTGATTTCCTTCAATGACAACGGTGATTTGACGTTGTCCAATGCCTAAATTCAAAAAAAAAAAAACACTGTATTGTAAAAAAAGAATGAGATCCAAATAAATCCGTAAAATACCGCCAGATGTTACATAACCGCGACCAATGTTTGTGCTCTGAAATGGAAATTTGTCAATTGAACATTTTGGTTGTTTTTGCTTGATTTAAATGATGAATTATTTACCTGTTCAACAATAACCTGATTCGGAGCAGAAAACATGAATTGAATGAAAAAAAAGGAAAATGAAATATTAGAAAATGTTGATGTCAAATTATAATGAGAAATTTTGTGCGTTAACATACCTGAAGATATGTAACTATTGAACCAATTCCTGAAAAAATACACTCAGAAGTCAAATCATATTGTTTGGGATGAATGTTTGAATTATTTTACCTGTTTTTGGATAATTCAAAGTGAGTTTAATATCTTGAGCGGAGGTCCATGAATTACTGCCCGCCGCTGTGGCAACCAAACGATCTCCTGATTTTTTCAAAAATTTTGAACATTAAGAAAACTTGAATTTTATTTGCTTTTTTGTTTTCTATTTAAATGATCACTAGACTCTTTCTTGTCTCTTGTATGAATTCAGACTTTTTTCAGATTACTCACCAGCAATGCGATTGCCTAGTCGATAGTTAATTTGAAGTTTTGTTGATTCATTATCAGACAGTTTTTCTTTAATTAATGGGTATAAAGCCACAACTGCTTTGTCCTCATTCCAAAGTGTACTCAGATCTTGAACAATGTTCGAGTCAAGACTTTCGGCTGAAAATTCTGACGAATTCATAGCAATGGCCAAAATCAAACACACGGTGAATGCTCCTAAGCGACCCATTTTATTGATGCACTTTCAATCTCAATATTAAAAACGTAAACTGATTTTTGTTCGGACAGCAATTGGCTTTTATAGTAGCTATTAAATGGTGTTATCTCATACGATATCTTTCACATGATTGCTGATTTCATTTATTTATCTAGACCCGTGCACTTTACGCAATTTAATTTTGAAATTGATTCATCCATATTGGTGATTGAGTTACTATATTTACGCGTATGCAGCACAAAAAATCCCAAGATATTTTACACTGATGACAGATTGTCTGATTATACTTATCTTTGTTCACAAATAACAACTTTCTCGATAAAAGAAAATGAGAGAAAAAAATATTTGTTTACAGAGCAATACACTTTGTGTTTAAAGGGCAAGTAAAGTGGTTATTATTTTAATTAGTAATCGGCATGATGTCATGAAATTATATCGGTTTATAAGTCAATTTCAAGCAAAGCTTGATTTCAAGCTTGATTTCAATTAGTAATCGCAATTCGTCTATTGAAAGAGAGTAAATGGACGTTTTTTGTTCAAAGATGGTACTCAATTCAATAGGAAACAATAACTCAAGTCTGGGCTTAATTCGTTTTCATAGATTTTGTCATCATTAAATTTTTCGATGAAAGAATGCCGTTTGCATTTGGGTAACCTCAAGAAACAAACAAATGCAATTGAGGAGTACATAGAGTTTATTGAGCATACTGAATTTAAAGCAAGTCCTTCTTTGATATCTTTCAATTGAAAATATATCAACATTTGCAAAAAACGTTTAATTCAAACTCCAATAATGAACGGATCAAGAAAGAAAAAGAATCGAACCGGGATAAATTTTAAAATGCTAGAGTTTTATTTTCATCGGAATTCAAATGGCATATAATTCAAAAAGTACAAATAGTTATTTCAATAACCGTAAATTTCCGCACTGAATTTAAAGTAAAGAGTTTGATCTGCTTCAATAAGAACGGTGAGTTGACGTTGTCCAATGCCTAATGCACAAAAAAAACGAACATTCAATTGTAAAAAATAACAAGAGCCAAATAACTAAATTAGTAAAATACCGCCAGATATTATATAACCGCGACCCTTGTTTGTGCTCTGAAAAAGATGAATATTTCAATTAAACCTTTTCATATTTTTTAATGAATAACCACAAAACCTACCTGTGACACTAAAACCTGAATCGGAGTAAAAATCACGAATTGCAAGAGAAAAGTAGTAAATTGAATGAAAAATGTTTGAGAATGTTGAAAAATAACGAAAATTTGGTCCCTTCAAGTAAACATACCTTAAGAAAAGTTACGACTAAGCCAGTTCCTGCAAAAAAATACACTCATACGTCAAACTGTCTAATTTTGGAAAAAACTTATTTATTATACCTGATCTTGGATAGTTCAAGGTGAGCTTAATATTTTGTGGAGATGAATATGTCCAGCTCCCCTCTGCTGTTGTAATCAATCGATCTCCTGGTGTTTTCAAAAATATAGAATTGCTACATTAAGCATTAAAATGATTGAAAATACTCCTTTCAATTTTATTTATTCAATTTGAACAAAAAAAATTCGCTTTATCTCTTGTTTGTTGATGTGAATTCAAATTTTTTAGGATATTGTGTGAACTACAAATTTTATAAAGAAAACTCGAAAAACTCTAAGTTAAAATGATTAAAAAAGTTAAAACTACTTACCATTAATGCGATCGCCCAATTTATGAAGAATTGCAACCTTTGGTGATACACCATCAGAGAGTTGTTCTTGAATTAATGGATATAAAACCTTAACTTCTTTGTCGCCATTCAAAAATGAGAAAGTAACATTTTGAACAATGACATTAATGTTCGAGTCAAGACTTTTAGCTGAAAATTCTGCCGAATTCAAAGCAATGACCAAAATCAAACAGACGGTGAACGCTACTAGACGATCCATTTTATTAACGTATGTACTTTCAATTTCAAACGTAAGTTCCCTCAAAAAAACGTAAAATGATCTTTTTTCGGACAGCAATTTATTTTTATAGTCGGCATTAATGGCGTTATCACAAACGATATCTTCCGCATGATACTTGCTGAATTCAATTACTTATCTAGACATCGTACGATTTACGCACATTAATTTTGGAATTGATTTATTCTATATTTATGCATAGGGAACACGAAAAATTCACAAGATTTTAATCGCTTATAACTGATAACCATTTACTACTTTCTCGATTGCGTTTTTTAGTTTCAGAAAAGACTGTGCCAAATTCAACCGGAAACAAACGCTCAAGTCTTTGAAAATGATAAAAAAATTTGTTAAAAAAAACTGTACGGTTAGAAACAATAAAAATGACAACAATAATTTGCAGATACTGGTGAATTTCATAACTGAGCGGCAGCCTCTTTGAGAGACTTAATTGTTTAAAAAAATCATTATCTGTTTAGAAAACTTGATAGAGTAAGAGACATATTACAAAAGCAAGAGATAGCACTCTCCGTTTGTAGCACCATCTCTTTCCTTGAATATGCACTAAATACAGATTGCTGTTTGAAACATACTGGGGTGCCGTGGTAGTATTCGGCGTGGAAGCGTAATCATTTTCAGCAAAAAAATTTCAGTCGATTATATATATGCAATATTATTTCCAATCAAATTCCGAAATCAGATTATGAATCCTAGATTATTACTTATTAAAAATAAAGAAACATGTTTGTTTGTCAATTATAGCTTTATTATTGTTCAATTGACATTGAAAATGTATTCAAAATTATATTGTAAAAAAATGAATTCCATCCTTTTTATGAGGATCAATATCCGTAGATGGCTGCACGGTGTTTGAAGTAAAGAGTGTCTTTCGATTCAACAACGACTGAGATTTGTCTCTGTCCAATGCCTCCAGAAACGACGTATGCGTTGCTCAAACTTGAGCTCTGTTCAACAATAACTTCGAGATAGGTAATAACCGATCCATATCCAGATTGTGGATAGTTCAAATTGAGACGGATATCATGTGGTTTTTGCCATTGTTGGCTTGCCGAATCAGTTGCCAAAATTCGATCACCTTTAATTGTGAAATTATTCATTTAAATGTATTGTTTTGATTTCACGATGTAAATCTGAGATTCTGAAGCGTATTCTAACGCCTAAAAATCTTTTTACTCAATAAAAACTTGAAATCTTCAGAAGCTCCATTTCACTTAAATTCCGTTAACGAACTTACCTGAAATACGGTTGCCTAGTCTGTGTACAATTTGTGTTCTAGTTGATGGTCCATCCAATTTCACTTCTGTGGTCAATGGTTCCAATTTAACTCCTGGATTTTTTGCCAAGAAATCAGCCAAACTTTGAACAAATTGAACTTCAATATTTGAATCAATTGATTCTTTGCACTGAGCAAAGTTGAAAACAAAAGCCGAAATCAAGCAAACAGCAAAAATACTAAGACGAGCCATTTTGATATTAATTTAATTGAGCACTTTTGAAGTTGTTTCGTCTCTCGACTATGCTTCTGTTCAAATGAACGTTGATTTTTATAGCCAAAATGCAACGTGATAATTGCCGAAAACAAGATAGAACGACGATATACTCATTGTCATGCGATAACAGTAAGGATTGGATGATTATTAATTTGATTGAACTATACTTGAAGTGTCGATTGAAATCTTAGATCAGATTGTGGAACAACATGTGTCAACATCTTCTTACGTGTATACTTACCGTATTGTGACTAGTATTCTATTTTTGGTATGTGAACAAACACTTGCTTTGAAATTGAAAACAATCAACCGTTGTTCATATGGCAAACAAAATATTCGTTACAGTGATCCAATAATTTTAACTAGAACTTTATCGCATTAATATTCTCATTAATTGAAAAAAGTCCGCGATCCAAGTTCAATTGAAACTAATATTACGGAAGAACTCAAGATTGTTAAACATACATAATATTCATCAATCAAAAATGATCGACACGTATCGGAAGGAAATAATTTGTGTTGCTTTTCGTGCTTATTATGGCATTTGCTACTCTCAGAGCCAATATTTTTCAATTGGAAATGCGTTTAATTTCACACTTGCAAACACTTGATTTGAAATGAGTGTTTCATTTGTTTGTGCGCATCATATTTTTTTTCAACGATGGAAAATTTTGAAAGTTGGAGAAAAAAACATAATTCGCGGGGGGGCAAAAATGATAATGCCACAAAATGGATAAAAATGTTATTCGAGTGTTGTCAAATGTTATTCGATCCAATCGGAAGGATACTGTGGATCAAAAAATGCTGAAACTTATCTGAAATGATAGAAATGGTGTCTGCCAATAATAATTAGTCGATAACGAAAAAAATTCCAAAATCCAAAAATGGCCATTTTTGACTTTTTGCACACCTGGTCCAGAATAAGATAAGCGCAGTTGGAGAGAAACGTCTTTTACTCCCCGGTATGATCAATAGACATTGCCCTTTCCGAATTGTACCCACTTGGATCGAATTAACGTCGTGTGCTTGATTGGCAGCTCTCTATTTATGGAATAGCCCAAAAAGGGTAAATGAATACATGACCTCAAAGGACGAAGAATCATTTCGACCCGATTTTCGTCTTTTAACTAAAATATGGACAAAAGTAGTGGCTAGCGATGGACAATACCTTCAATGAGATTTTCTTGCAATTTTATTCAAGTAAAGCATTCATTTTCACCCAAAAAATTCCCTTTTTTAATGCACACACCCAATATATAATAAGATAGTATGACAAAAAACTTGAAAAAAAACTAGGACTTAAGAAAAGAACTAAGACTTAAGATACTGCTGGTCAAGTCAGTTACACACTTTTTATAACAAACAAAATTGTGGAAAAAAAGATGATAGTTCATACGTCCACATCAGAAGTTCGAGGTGTCCGACATCTATTTTACGTGGCGGTGCAGTGTCTACCGTGTAAAGCTATTATAAATGAAGAATACTTAATCCACTTATAGGTGCAGGTTATGTGACAGGCATAACTTATGTCATAAATATAGTGTTCAATTTGATTTGGAAGAACGATATAAGACTTCACTTGCCGAATTTCCAAACAAGTATTTTTTTTTGTAATTTCATTTTATTGAAGATAAATTAACATTGAAATATTACAAATCAAAAATGCTAAAAAAAGTCAAAAGACATTTAATAACCAAAAATAGATGCTTTGTGATTGAAGTAAAGAGTTTGTTTGGACTCGACAACGATGGATATTTCTCTCTGTCCGATTCCGCCTTTAATAACAAATGCCTGGCTTAAGTTGGTACTCTATAAATAATAGTTCATTTGTTTTTTAAACATCACAACAATAATTCTTGTTTTGTAAACATCACAACCTAGCTAATTTTACTAGGTAAATTATTTTTCACCTGATCAACTTGCACTTCGAGATAGGTGATTATCATGTTACCAGGTCCAGTCTGTGGATAAAATAAATTAAGACGAACATCTTGTGGTTGATTATAACGTTTTTCTGCAGAATCAACGGCTAATATTCGATCACCTGTGATTTTTAATTTTCAATTGTTTTAATTAAAATTAAAAGTTCTTTTTCATACTTCGCCATATATCGTAAAATCTTGAATATAAGAAAATTACTTACCAGGTATACGATTTCCGATTCTATGGACAATTTGAATTCTTGTTGATGGGTCATTTGATTTCACAATTTTTTCCAATGGTTCCAATTTAATTCCCGGATTTTGTTGCAAAAAATCGGTCAAATTTTGCACAAAATTAACTTCAACATTTGAATCGAGTGCTTTATTTGAGCACTGTGCAAAGTTGTATAGAAAAAGAGACACAAAGCAGACAGCAAAAATATTTAGACGAGCCATATTCTTTCACGTTCAAGTCTTTTTTGCAAGCAAGAAATTGAATTATGGTTCTGTTCAAACATTCATTGATTTTTATAGACAAAATACATTTGTAATCAGGATGTTATTACTGAAATTGATTATTTTCTGATATAATTATCGATTAAATCGATGAGTAATACTATTTGAAGCAAGAGGGCCAAAATACCGAAAACAATATGTTACAACGTGATTGAGACATGATTTATCGTTAAATCATAGACAATAAACGTCAAAAACAACAGTTTTGTGACTGTTCAGCTATTTTAAGTGCGTTACTAAGCAGCTGCTATCATTTTCTTCCTCAATTTCAAAATTAAAGATAAAGTTTGAAGCATGAAAATTTATTCAAGTTATTTTATAAAATATTGACAACTTGGATTTGCTACGGTTTTTATAGGTAAACATAACATTTTTCCTATGGTGACGAGTTATTCCGTCTTGTCGTCATCATGATACCATTTTTCTTAATATATTCAAATGCAAGACATTGTATTAGAACAATATTCGGTATTAACGCTAAATTGAGAAATTCATAAATAAGATTTCATTATCATGGAAGTAAGCATAATTAGAGAAAGAAAAGAAACAGGTCGACAAAAGGTTGCGTCGACAAAAGGTTCTAATTGTTAACTCATGGCTTATAAAGCAACAATTAATTAAATTAAGTCATCGATAATTATAGACTGACACATTTTTCCATAGCTTGGTGTTTATTTGGTAAGCTTCTCTTCGATTTATTTGAAGTTGTTCAGTTTGTATCTCTGCATCAGCTGGATTGAACTTACTTTAACATTTTTCTCTTGGTTCATACGTTGAAATAATAAATTTGAGTACGTACGTAAATAATAACAATAAAAGAATTCATAAGATGAAGACTCCGCCACTTTCTGTCGTTGCAATATGGATCTGTTTCATAGGTTTTGCAACACCTATACCAAATTCTACGAAAATATTAAATTCCACTAAAGAGTCTGTTCGAGAACGTTCCAAAAGATATACTATACTCTATCCATGGTTGCCGTTTAATACAGCCATTGCGGTAACTTTTGCCTTTTTCATTAAAATACTGGCTATTCCATTAATTTTTCAATCGTAAATAGTTGGCGGTTGTTCTTGCCATTCCACTAGAATTGAAGGGTCGCAATGTTTACATGTCGTATAATTTTGAAACGAATTTTTATATGCCGTATTTTGATAAATCGCAAGGTCTTGTTCCACTGCCATTTGCAACAGTAAGTTAAATTTAAAAATTTGTGCATTTTCGAAGTGCAAAAAATGTATGAATTTTCTAGATTGATGCAGGGGCTGTGAATCAAGGCACAAAACTATATTATCAAAATGGAGGAGAATTGCGTAAATTTGATGGCCAAGAAGAAGCTGATGACATAGCTGTTACCACAGATTCAGAAACAAATAACTCAACCGAAAAATCTGTTTTTGCTGATAATGCGTATGTGAAACAAACTCTTGGAAAAAATGAAAACTCGAAGCAAAAAAACAAAAACACGAAGAAGGGCCGAATAAATCGCAAGATTCTATCAACGCTTCTATCGCGGAAAAAGTTGTACAAAATTTTGGAACATAAAATGGATTTGTACGTAGAAATAATATCTTTTGGAAATTTTTGGACGAAATAATGCGCATTTTACATTTTAGAGCTGGTTTTAATGGGGAAGAATGTTTATTGAAAACGATTTGTGAAACAGCTGAACAGTCGCTAGCAGAGCATAACGGAGTTTTGGGTGATATTGTGCATATCATTTTTACGTAAGTGCATTCGATGAATCAAACAAAAATATTTAGAGTTTGTAAATTGATTATAATTTTTTCGTTCAGGCCAACATCATCGCGAGACGAAAAACTACCGCTGAGATACTACGACGCGACCACAGATGGTCAGTCTGGGTGCTGTAAATACTACAATACATTATGCCCAAATGGAATATTCGATTTCATTACAAAAACAATGTAATAAATTCTATTCATTTTCACCAAACGATTAAATCAGTGGCCGCAGTGAATTTTGATAGTTACAAAACTAAAAAAAAGTTTAAGAGATATTCCAGAGTTTTCTTTACTTAGGCCATATAGAAATTGATGCTTACAAGAATTTTAATAATTAATTCCAACCTAAGTGCTCAGAAAATTCGTATTAATTTGTGAGTGTCTAAATGTTTTAAGTGTATGATTCAATACACGTTATCATTAGTTTTTCTTGTAGAGTCTTATCGCTCAAATAAAAAACAAAGTGTGATATCACAAGTAAGGCATTCATTATTAATGACTCAATAGGCATTTGGTTATTTCATATCACACGTGCCTTCAATCGACCAAGTTTTTTATGAACAAACAATATAGTTTATTTCTTTGAATTTCTGCTTAACTTCCGCCAATGACGTACGTTCAATGAATGATCGATCCTTCCAAATGTAGTGTTAGTAAAATTTTCGTAGTACCATAAAGTAGGAGAGAGTAGTGTTAATAATCTTCAAGTGAAATTGAGATATTCAGATGTTTGATATGCGTGTATTGACCATTAATGCTACGCCCACCTTTTTGAATATTACACATGTGCAATGAGTTTCTGCGATTCCTTTAAGATGAACATCCTTTTGGGCGAGCATAAAGATGAGCACGTCCTTTTACAAATCCAGTTTTTGGCCGTAGAGCTTAATGTGAAACGTGGAACCGTACTACTAAGAAAAACAAACTACTCGACATTCATATTTTGAATTTTTTGCCACAATTTTTTTAAAATAAATTACACCTTGAAAATTGATTTTGCCAATATTTTCCTCATATCGCCTCAACGACTACCTATGCGCTCCATCGTGCTATTGGTACATTTCAATTTTGTGACAACAACAATTTCTTCTCTTCAATATGTTCCTTCAAATATAGAGCTCAATTTTGATATTTTAGATTCTACATTTGAGGTTAAATATCGAAGAGCCAAATTGTTGTTGTCACAAAATTAAAATGTACCAATAGCACGCTATTCATATCGAACTATCAATAGTATCATGATATATCACTAGCGTCAATCTAATCACTGCGTAATTTGGCCTCAAACGGCCACCTGGGAAACACATTCACAAGTTTGATTGGCTAATAAGCTATATACCGTTGGAAAGAGGGCTTCAAGAGCTATCATCTGGCAAAGTTTCATCAAAATCATAGAACTAGGTTGCTTGCAATAAGATTCGGAAGCCGATTTTTCTCACAATTTTTCATATTTCGGCCAAACGGCCAGCGTAAAACGCCATCAAACCTGCCGGAAACTCCATAATTTATATACCATTCAAAAGGTAATTTTATAAGCAATCTAAAACAATTTGGTACCACAGGTGACTCCAACTTTTTTTCAACAAGTTTCATCTAGATCCAAAGTTATCAAATTAACACTGAAGTAAAGCTCATTTATTCCATCTTTTATCCACCCAATAAAGTTGCGGAGAAACGTAATTCCACCCTAATCCATTCGTTATCCACTCAATAAATGGTGAATGGAATCGAAATATTTTTCAAAGTGGAATCCAAATAAGAGGGCCCATGAATGAAAAAATTAAATGGAGAGCACTTATGGGGAAAATAAAAAATACGTCTGGAGAGTTTCTCATGCCCTATCGAATGCCGAAAACCCGAACTCTCTATCTTTTCTGGTTTTCTCTAAAATCACTGAACAAACATATATATATATATATATATCTTACTATTCCATAGCTTAATGTATAAAACTACGTTTCACATTAAGCAATTTTACTAATCAATACGAGTCTGTATGTGATTTGCAAGTCAGTAAAAAGTCTCAATGACAGGTTTTAAACGAATGTCAGATCGTAACAATTTGTTGAAAGAAAAATTCTTATTCAGAACATTACATCGAAATAGTGAATAAATATTTTATTTTTTTCTTACTATTTTTTAATAAAAATGTGATTTGTCACATTTCAAAGGCCCAAGAAAATATATTTAAGTGTTGAAATACCAAAAATTATTCAAACAATTTTGCGAGAAATGGGATTTGGCTGCCGAACTAGTTTATCTCTTATTAAAACAGAAAGTGTCGCTGAAATTGAAGAATATGTAATCGAAAATCGTGAAATATTAGCTATATCAAGCCATGAAAATAAATATTCCTTCAAATTTTTGCACGGACCAAAACATGCCAAATTATATGAATGAACTAAAAAAACTGTGAATCAAACAACGAACAGAAAATGAATTTGTCACAATTTCCGTATTTATTAAAATGCTTCATGGAAACCGTACATTCGCATGTAAATTTAAGTGCTAATGCCGGAAGAGTGAAGACATCCAATCATTTTTTTTATTTATGATATAATTGCACTATCAGAGACATGGTTACATGTATCACAAGCAAATAGCGAATTTATGGACAGCAAATACAAAACTTTTAGGAAAGATAGAGAAGAAGCAGAGATGAATGAAGTAAATGAAGGTGGTGTATTGACTTGACGGTGAAGAATTTACGACGCAAGAATGTCATGACGCTGTATGTGTAAAAATAAGACTGACTGACTGCTTTGTTTATATGTTATTTTAATCGAAAGAAAACTCCACTTTGTTACTTTAACTTAAATGATTAACTTTAATGAACAACGTGAAAGTAACTATATTTTACAACGAAAGGTAAATCGCTAGCTTGCACGGTCGGCGGTCAGTGATGGCCACAAGGGGAAAAGTACTAGATACATCTAATACCAGTAATACGATCTAGTACAATAAAAATACCGAAAAATACCATATAATACATTTTAGTACTACACATTTTTTAGAGCATTCACAAGCGATCTGATATTCATCTGTGTGAAAGAAAAATAATTTGAAAACAATATTTTTTGTATCACTCTTGCTTACAATTTTAATATTACAAAATATTAATTGAACAAAATAACTGAATCAATAACATAAAAATATGCCAACGCACAAGATTTTATATATATTTCTTCAACATAAAAAAATTGTTAATTTTGACATGTAAAAATCTAACCCAACTTCGGTCCAATATATTTTTTCATCTTTTGATTTGTGTAGAGATTTTGTTTAAATATGAAATTGTGTCAGCTTCTTAGAACACCATTCAAAAATGTAAAAAATATTTAACAAAATCAACAAAAATGTGTGCATTACATTTTAATTATTTCGGTTTGTATGTGTCTCGTTTCTCTCAGTCAGTGCTTTAAAAATTCCTCATTACTAAGTCGTATTACTTGGTATTTTTCGGTATTTTTATTGTACGAGATCGTATTACTGGTATTAGACGTATTTAGTACTTTCCCCCTTGGATGGCCATTATGACATTTGTAAAATGTGTAAATAAGACTTAAGATAAAATATGCAACGGTGCGTTGTCACGTGCAGTGAAGCTGCCACACATTCATTCGATTTTATATGAATTGCCTTCTTAAATTTTATAGAGGCCGTTCATTTTGGCAAGCCGGTTGTTGGAATTCCGTTTTTCTTTGATCAACACTTCAACATGAAATTAGCCGAACAAAAAGAATGCAAAGTTAATATCTGATAGATTTCGTGATCAGCCACGAACTCCGTTAAAAACAGGAATACATTGGGTCAAACATGTGGCTCCACATTTGAGAAGTGTTGCGGTCGATTTGCCAATTTATAAATTGTATAATTTGGATGTATGGGCATTCATCTTTGGTGTCACTCCTCTCATTCTATTTTTGTTAGCGAAATTTGTCGGTCTTATACACTCACTCAAGTCAAAGCAAAAACTGAAAATGAATTAATAATTTATGTGTATTTATTCGTCTCATTTTGTTCGAAGCAATCACATATAGAGACTCGAGTCAAAACGTCCCAAACTAGCCAATATTTCTACACACGTGGATATTGAGTGATTGTTGAAATTTCTTAAATGATATTTTATCAACAAATTGGATTGTATACAATTTATAGATTTCATTGTTCCAAAATTGATAACTTTAATTTCATATTGTCAAAACACTCAAAAAGCGAGACAGTGCGATTATCTATTTAAGCAACTATCACAAGCAAATAAAACATTATCACCTTGATAACTTTAAGTTTTGGCTCAAAAACTAAAATGAAACCTTTTAAATAGTTCATAAAACTTAACACAATTAATAATAACCCGAGTGGAAAAAAAGTGACTATAGTTAGCTATATTCATGAATTTTAAAATTTTGTATGAAAACAATCGACTATAGTTACTCAGTCAGTCAGGCGGTTATGTGACTATGATTATTGTCAACTATAGTTAGCTGTTGCAGTTAACCATAGCTTACTTTAATTGATTGAACTTAACTAAATTTAACTAAGGTTGCTTGTTTTTACAGTCAATAGTCAGTCAGTTTGTCCCAAAATAGTCAGCCACTTTTTTTGTACACGGGAAGATAGAAAAAACGTAAATTCTTTTAAATTACTTGTTTTGAAAACCGTTCTACCACAAGGACAATACCTTTTGAAATGTTTGTCTTGTTTATCTCCATATAACATAAAGATCACAAAACATATAAAATAGTTCGATTCGTGTATAAAAGGGTGAGCATTTGAATTAATATTTGTTCATTAAATCAAAGTAACAAAATGCTCTCAGATCTGTTATTTCATATATTAATCGGAATAGTGTTGTATTTGTTTTACAAATGGGCAACAATAAACAATGATTATTTCGTGAAGCGTAAAATATTACATTTGGATTCAGTGTTTTTGGTGGGAAATACATTTGAACTATTTCTGATGCGAAGCTATCCCGCGAAATGGTTGGAATCGGTATATTATCGATTTCCAAAAGAAAAGTACGTATGAAAATCAGATTTAGTTTAATGCAAGCATTAACTAGTATCAAAATGAGACCGATTTGAAAGATTATTTAACATTATAAATGTGTTTATGTTATACAACATTTAGAATCATTGGATTTTTTGACATGAGCACACCGGTTTATATGCTACGTGATTTGGACCTCATCTACAAGATCACGATCAAAGATTTTGATTTTTTTAAAAATCATTGGATAAGTTTTGCCCTAAAATCCGATTCATTTATGGGAAAGAGTGTGGTTTCATTGGAGGACAGTAAATGGAATGACATGAGATCCACACTTAGTCCAATATTTACGAGTAGCAAACTGCGGCATATGTTCGAATTGGTGGTTGAATGTGCTGATGAGATGATCGAATATCTCAGAGAGAATTTGCAGCAAAATAATTCGGCCCAACTGAATATAAAGGAAGTGTTTTCGCGATGCTCAAGTGATATTATTACATCTTGTGCATTTGGTGTAAAAGTAAATTCTTTTAAATGTCCCAAAAACGATTTTTACACTTTTGGCAAAAATATGATGAATTTTACCTCCGCAAAATCAATTCTACGTATAATATTAGTTCGAACGCTGCCCAATTTAATGCTGGCATTAAACATTGAATATTTTAGCAAAGATTTGCGGCAATTTTTCAAATCGATGGTCTTGTATATAATGGCAGACAGAGAAAAGAGACAAATTTACAGACCAGATATGATCAACACTTTGATACAAATGCGAAATGGGACCACCAGGAACAATATTAACGAAAATTCGAATGAAAAAGATGTGGGCTTTGCAACCGTAGAAGAATCAAACTTTGGCAAAAAACAAGTGCAACGCATCTGGAATGAACATGAGATCGTTGCACAGAGTGCGTTTTTCTATACGGCCAATTTTGAAACAATATCTACTGTCATGACTTTTCTTGCATACGAATTGGCTGTCAATTGGGATATTCAACAAAAATTATATGAAGAAATTCAGGCGACTAGTGACAGTCTTGATGGTGATCGATTGACTTATGACATAATACCAAAAATGAAGTATTTTGATCAGGTTGTATGTGAAACGTTGCGTAAATGGCCTACTGCTGTTTTAACGAATCGGATTTGCAGCAAGGACTATGATTTAGAATTAGATGGCAGACGAGTTACAATTGAACGCGGTACGTGCGTTATAATTCCAATTTATTCGATTCATCATGATCCTGAGATATATTCAGATCCCGGTATTTAAACTTTTCCGATATCTTTTGATTTGACAAGAAAAAAATCACAAAAACCAAAAAATGTATCAGTAACTTTAAATTTTCATAATGTGTAATAGTAAACCAATTGATTGTTATTTATAGAATCCTTCGACCCGGAACGATTTAACGATGAAAATAAAAAGAATATCAAAGCGGGAGCATATATTCCCTTTGGAATTGGGCCACGTAATTGTATCGGTGTGTTTGCCTATTTTCATTCAATTCAATCACAATTATAAATTTTTCGTGAAGATAATATTACGTTAATGACATCTTTTCAGGTTCACGGTTGGCTCTAATGGAGATCAAGGCAGTTTTCTTCTATTTGTTGCTAAATTTTCATATTCAGCCGAATGAAAATATGGAAATACCATTAAAAATTCATAATTCAGTTGCTTTTTGGGACATTGAAAGTACAATTGATTTAGAATTAAAACCGAGAGTTTAAGAAAATATTTTTCAATTTAATGAACAATTTTAAAAAATAAAAATATTTTTTCTTTCTTATCAGCACTTTCTATATTAAAATGTCATTTTAGATCGATCTATATAGAAAATCAATCATTTCTCATATTAAAAAAATATCGATATTTCAATGCGCTGAATAGCTTTTACACTGTCGATGGTGGATCGAACATGTGGCCAAGTTCAGAGGAGCAAACTACCTCAAATCACACGCTGTGAATATTTCTTGGTTCTCTTACTTGTTGTACTATTATTTGGTTTTATCATCTTTTATGAACATTTATCAATCTTATTTTCTTGAAAAACAAAACAAAATTAAGCAACAGAGAATATGTTTAAACTGATAAGAAAATAAAGCGTTAAAGTTATGAATAATTCACGAATTCAGTTTTGTCATCGTCACAAAGTGAATTCGTGATATATTTTCTCATATTCTGTTTACACGCAGGTAATTTTTTTGATTACATAAAAGGAGGCAAACTTTTACAACCAACTTTGTTTTGGATATGAACTTCGCATTGAATTTTCAAATTTCTTTAGAAGCGAAACACTCTAATGAGAAAATATTCATAAAAAAACTAATTCACAAAACCCTTATCCCCTTCGGACACTATTGACCGCTATTTGTAGTACAGATAGATAATTTATGTATATTCTTGTCATAAAAAAGAACTACATAGAAACGCGTATAAGACTTATTGTATATACACATTCTTGAACACGATTCGTTTTTACAGTCATAAATGGTGGTCTCGTATAGATTTTCTAAAAGATATTGGTATATTTGCAGAACTGTTTAAATTCATTGCTTGTGAAACATTTTATTCAGTTAAACGGAAGCAAAACCAGGCAATAATTCCTACAAACTTTTGTTAAATAATTCAGAACTAACGAAGAAAGCCCCCTAGGGCATGCCCAAAGATTAATCCCACTCCAATCACTTGGTCTTTCCACGAATTGAAAAATGAAAAAAAAAAATATCTGTACGTGTCAAACCACAGTTGCTCAAAAATCGGTTGATTTTAATCATAACACAGTTAACATAGGATCATCTAAACACGTCTATACTGTTGCAATAAGAGCCAAATCATGATTTTAGCGCTTTGAACCCGAAAGTAAACCTCGGTCGGCTCTCTGAGTCTTCAAACATGAACACAATCCAACAAAAGTTGTTCATCTAATTCAGGACACTTCTGTTCACCAGGGACCAAAATCAGATATATTGTATAAGGGGTAACTTTTTCAATTCGGCCTCGCACAAATTCAAAAATGCATTTTTGAATAGTTCATTCCTAGGGGGGAGCAAATTGAAAGATTTTTCTCTTCGCCCAAAAACTATAGCAAAATTGTGACTTTTTTATCTCCCGTTTTAAAAACTGAAGAGCAAAAAAAAAGGTTTTCACATTTTTCGCGAAAATCCTTAGCAAATCGAAAGGATATTTTTCTCAAAAAAAAAAAAAAAATGAAATTTCTAAAGGGGGTAATTCCCAAATCTGTTCTCCAGGTAATCCAACCCCTCGGACCCCTGCTCAGAAGCTGTGTTGCTACTTGATAAGAAAAGTGAGTTACTATTCAAACCCATTTCGAACAAAATTAAAACCAAACAAACTAATTTCTGGATCTAACGAACGAAAGCAGAATTATGGGTAGATATGTCATATTGTTCAGCGTGTACTTAATACAGTATTAAAAAAGAACGATTTTAAGTTGCAAGCTTATTTATTGTCTATAGATCCCTTTCAAGTGATTTGGTTAAAATGTATGAAGTAAAGAAAAAAGTGCAAATAATCAAGTAATGTTCTCAAAAGCCATAAACATATGTATTTTGTCGGAAATGTAGTGTTTTCAAAGCGTCAATAGTGATTGAAATTTGTCGTTGACCAATGCCACCACTTGACACGAGACCGCGACCAAGGCTGGAACTCTGAAAGCGATTTAAATTAATATAAGTAAATATAAAGTGTTCTAAATATATATGTTCCACTTGAACATTTTAAATGCTGTGAATTTCGATTATGACTTACTTGAGCAATGGTAATTTGAACAAAGGTGATAATAGAACCAATTCCAACCATGGATAAGTTCATAGGACGAGTATAGTTGTCAGACATTGAATGGCGCTGTATCTATCCTATGAACATCGAACTAACAAGAATGTGTGGTGGTTCATGTCTTATTTAATATACAATAGTGGTAATTTATGCATTGCACAATCCATTTTTCTAGTTCCTCTTGCATTGGTAGGGGGATTCTTCTAAAGTTCAGAGAATGACGTTTGCATATAAATACATGTAAAACGCAGAGCATATACTGAGCATAGATATATATCCGGGATATTTTGTGAGTATCCGATATTTATCGTAGCCAGACATTATAATGGAGTAAAAACAATAGAAGTGATTGTTATAGGTTCAAGTATAAAACCATTTACATTACTACAATCACTATAACAATAACTTCTATTGTTTTTACCTAGGGGGGTGACACCAAGAATAAATTCCGAATCCACTATATAAATTACTAATCCAGCTATTCCACTAATCCAAAAACACAAATGTGGAATCGAAACTATTTTTCCTATTCCATGCACTGTTTCCGTCAAAAATGTTAATTCTGCTATTCCACACTATTCCACTAATCCATCAATAAACGTCAAAAGAAATGTCAAATGGATTTGAAGTGAAACAATTTTTGCTATTCCATGCACTGTTTCGCTATTCCACGCGAATCCATTCACATACGTTGCTATTTCATTGAAATTTCTCGAATCTTTACACTAAAAGTCTAATCCTATTCCACGTGTCTGCCCCCTAGGTTTTTACTCTATTTCAAAGTCTGGCTCCAATGAATATCGGATACTGACAAAATATCCAGGATATATATCTATGCAAGGGTATGGCATGCTATGTAAAATGTTGGCGAACAAAAACCTTACAAATTTGTCGGAATAAACCTTATAATTCTATGAACAAAATTACACAAATATGAGATAGTTAATACGAAATTGTATTTCAGATTCTATCCAATAGATGGCGTTACGGTTTGGCACGTCACCATGTCTCTCATATACGTGCCATTCACTTGTATCTATGCTTAGTATATGCTCTGTGTAAAAGACACGTTTAGGCTCGTCTTATGGATAAGTTAATTTGTGGATTATATTCTGTGCCACAGACCATGTTCGTTTTGAGATCCTGACGCCACCAGACCTGTGTGCTCACAAATGTTCACAAATATTCATTTAGTAGCTTCTAGTAGATTTTAGTATACAAAACTAACCTTAATATATTATTAATAAAGAAAATAAAAAAAAGAACCCTCTTTTTCCATAAATTTTACTTTTATTAAATTATAGGCACTCTTTGTTATTTATGCTTTGGATTTTTTTTTGCTTATTCTCGTTTTGTCTTTGAGTCAGAGATTAACGAAAAGGCGAAATTTAGAATTTTTCGAGTTAAAAATACACTGGAAGCAATGACACCAAAGATGAATGCCCATACATCCAAATTATACAATTTATAAAATGGCAAATCGACTGCAACACTTCTCAAATGTGGAGCACCTTTATTTTTAGCCACATGTTTGACCCAATGTATTCCTGTTTCTAACGAAGTTCGTGACTAATCACGAAATCTATCAGATATTAACTTTGCATTCTCTGCATAACTGAAATTTGAAATTCAATTAGCTCCAGGGAAACTGTTATATTTAATTTTTGTGATTTTACCTTGGCACATTGCATTTAAAGCGAGGGGGAAACCACGGATTCTAATATGTGCTAATTTTTTCTAATATTTCTAGTAAAACGCCATATGACATGTACATTTGACATCTTTCTAATATGTTCTAGTTTTTCTAGTATCGAGTTCGTGGATAACCCCAAGGGTGGTTCGGTGATGGTGTAGGGTGGATTCAGCTAAGATGGCGTTAGTGCGTTGGTGAAAATCGACGGAATAATGAAGAGAGAGCAATACCATAATATACTGCAGCGAAGCGCTATTCCCTCAGGTATCGGTTTAATTGGCTACGGGTTCATTTTTCAGCAAGATAATGACCCGAAACACATTTTCAAACTTTGTCTCAACTATTTGGAATCAAAAGAAAATGAAGGCGTATTTCAAATCATGGATTGGCCACCCCAATCTCCCGATCTCAATCCTATTGAGCTTTTATGGGAAGAGCTGGACAGAGGGGTACGAAAAATGCGACCAACGAGTCAAACACACCTCTGGCAGTGTCTAGAAAAGGCGTGGAATGAAATTGAAGTCACAAAGTTGCAAAAACTTGTCGAACGGATGCCTAGAATCTGCAAAGCGGTTATAAAATCACGCGGTGGTCATTTTGACGAAAAACGGCTTATTTGATTTTTTTCAGTGATCCACAAAATTATCGGAAAAATATCATAATATATTATTATTTTGACAGTATTTCATGTATTTTTTCCTGAAAATTAGTTTAAAATCAAAATAAATGCAATTCGAATGGAAATAATAGCATTTTTTTTTTGAAGAAATGAAAATTTTGCTCTTGGTCTCAAACTTTCTGACGGCACTGAAAATAATTTTTAAAAAATGTCATTCCCAATTTCACAGAATATATAAATATTCTGAAGTAATCGTTTATTCATACATATGGAATTGAAATTTAAAATAGTTAAAGAAAAAACAGCTTTTTCTACTAATTTTGTCTATGTTAATGTCTATAAACAATGGTCAACAAATAATTTCAACAAACATTCGTAATCGGTACTGAGATAATTGATTTAGATTTTCTTTGATAATTTATTACACTATTCTACTGGTAATTTAAATAAAACATTGATTGTATCAGTTATAAACTAAAGTAAATAGAAAATGATAAATTACATGCAATTTTTTGTAAACTATATCGAAAAAAGCTATACATAATAGTAACTATTCACTACTTATTATATGAATTCATTATTATTAGCTTCACTAATATGAATAAATTTCAATGAAATATTCAATGTACATGATATCAACTGCCTCGAAAAATGTCGAAACATGGTTTTGGTGAAGTCCACCATCTTTTATACATGCAATCGCACGGTCTGAGTCCTATGAATTAAAGAACGGTTTCTATTAAACATGAATACCTCCTTATAGTTTATTGCCCATTTCATACCTGTATGGACTTGATTAGGACGTATGTAGCATAGACACCACCACCAGATTCCTCTACTCTCCAAAAATTGACTGGAGTAGACGAAGTCGTAGATATTGTATATTTATAAAAAAGACGATCACCTAATCGTTTCATTCAATTTGAATTGCGATTTTCTCTTTATATTTTACTAAAAGAAAAGCTTACCCGGTTCTCGTCTTCCCACAGCATATAAAATATGTATTTTCCCTAATTTCTTGTCATATGATACAGTGAAATTTTTCTCATCATTTTCAATAACATCATTGTTTAATTCTTGCAACGAACATTTTACCGAAGCGATTACAAAACACGTTAAAACACTAACCAAAATCGTTTTCATTATATTTCACAATAGATGAAGTTGTCTTCTTTTCTTGAACAATAACTAAACTTTGTTTAAACACAGCAATCGATATTTATACTCATTTTCTATTTAGTTCTTTTTAAAAGTCTTCTTTTATATAAAATATATAATTTATACTGGAATATGTCTAAGAATGTCCATTAATCATTTACTTTATTACGACTTGATAAGAAAACTGAGTTACTATTCAAACCCATTTCGAACAAAATCAAAACCAAACAAACCAATTTCTGTGTCTAATGAACGAAAGCAGAATTATGGGTAGTTTCACATCAAACCATGAGATATGTCATATTGTTCAGCGTGGGCTAAGTATTAAAAAAAACGATTTTAAGTTGCAAGCTTATTTATTGTCTATAGATCCCTTTCAAGTGACTTTCATTTGGTTAAAATGTATGAAGTAAAGAAAAAAGTGCAAATAATCAAGGCATGTGCTCAAAAGCCATAAACATATGTATTTTGTCGGAAATGTAGCGTTTTCAAAGCGTCAATAGTGATTGAAATTTGTCGTTGACCAATGCCACCACTTGACACGAGACCGCGACCAAGGCTGGAACTCTGAAAGTGATTTAATTTAATACAAGTAAATATAAATCGTTCTAAATATATGTGCCACTTCGAACATTTTAAATGTTGTGCATTTCGATTCTGACTTACTTGAGCAATAGTAATTTGAACAAAGGTGATAATAGAACCAATTCCAACTCTTGGATAAGTTAATTTTTGGGATATATTCTGTGCCACAGACCATTGTTCGTTTTGAGATCCTGACGCCACCAGACGATCACCTGTGTGCTCAAATTTTCGCTTTTAAAAGACTTTGTTCAGAAAAAATCAAATTGATTTAACTTACCGTTCACTCGTTTACCAAGTACATATGTTATTGTCGATCCAGTGGAAATGGTTGTAATGCGTGGTTGCAAAAATTGAGAATTCGAAAAATAAAATTGATTCGACGGAATAGCTTTAATAAAATCGTTATTCTCTTCGACTACTCTGTATAGATCTTGCTCAATTGGAATGTTGTTATTATTACTGTCCAAATATTCGTCTATATCTCCCCAGGAAATGGCAGAAATGCAAGCAAATAAAAATGATATATAAATTGTAAGCGCAAGACGTGCCATTTTTAGAACACAAGTTGAAGTCAAGCAAGTCAAACTGATTTTCGGTCGTTGGTAATGTCAGCATTTATACATTTTTCTTATCGAATCAATTTAATGAAAATTGGACCTAACCGCTTCATTCGTTCTGTCATTCATGGACGACACCAAAAACCTTATTAATGATCACAAATAGAAGGAAATTATTTTGTCTTTTTACGCATTATTGGACTATTTTTATAAAAAATAAAACGGTCGAAAGTAAAGCCTATCTATTTACCGGTAAAACTTTATGAAAAATGTTATAGGTAAGTTGACGTCAAAAATAAGTCATCAATTCGCAGATATATTGCACTTTTGCGCGATTTTGTAAAAGAAAAAGTATATTTTCGAGTGAATTATAGCATGTGATAAGACTATTGAGAGTATTGCACTCTCTAATACATTTATTGTTTATGAAAGGTAACGACATTTTATTGACAGATTTTTTTTGCGTGGTTTTCATTTATTACGAACACACTCTGTTATATGCAATTAAATTTTTTGTATGCCAAATTCCAATCGAATTGAATAATTCACATTTCCAACACTGGTAGTCCCTGATCTTGAATATATCTTCCATGAATCCCGCCACTTTTCATAATTTTTAACCTATTTATTATTTAACGGTCGATTTAAGTAATTCAAAGGAAAAAATCATTAACATCGATTACATTCGGACATACCTTAGAGAAAATCTGATCAAATTTCGGGATTTTTTTCGACTAAAATCGGCCCACCTTAAAGCCGAAAGTACCTTACATTTGCTTTATCTGAGTAACAACATAATTAAGCAAGTGAAAAAGACCAAGCTTTTTCTATCATTAACGCCGTTATTTATACTTCAACTTTTAAGAACGTTTTTGCTCTCTCTCGCGATTTCAGTTTAAACTTTTAGTACAAAGAATCAATCAATGTTATACAAAACGTATCTAAACAATTATGAAATGATACTTCCAACTGTAAAATGAATCTATAAGAAAGTGCATATGATTGGGTCAGAATAAAAAGTCAACTTGTAATTTGAGTCCATAAAAGTGGAACACGGATTTTTATTCTGGCTCATTCATATCATCTTTTCGAATTTATTTTCTAACAAACGGAAATATAAAGAGCAAAAGATGAAAATAAAAGACGTGAAATTTCATTGCTTGATGTGCATTTTATTGTTTACATTCTATAAATAATGAAATTTTATCCCATGAATTCAAGTGAACTGATTGGTGCAGTGGAATCATTTTAAAAAGTGTAATAACTGGTCCCGGGGGTAAGAATGTGTTTGATCAATAACCGTAGATTTGTGTTGTTTGTCGGAACAAAGTGGTCCTTTGAGCTTCGATGGTGATTGAAATTTGACGTTGGCCAACGCCTCCACTTGTCACATAGCCCCGACCCAAATTAGTACTTTGTTCAACTACTATTTCGACAAAACTTATTATTGAACCGACGCCCGTTTTTGGATACGTAATGTTTTGTGTAACATTTTGAGCAGCAGTCCATTGTTGAATTTGTGAATCAGATGCAACAACACGATCGCCTGAAATTCATACCAATAAATTAGACAAGCAACTGTACTCTCCTCTCTCTCTTTTCTATGTTACTTACCACTGACACGCTTGCCAAGTTTATAAGTGACAGTTGATCGCGATGATGCTGATGGTGTATTGGCTCGTGGTTCTAGTAAAAATCGCGGACTGAAATCGACTTTCAAGTTTTCATCTTGCACGTTTTTTGTCAAGTTTTTCGGTTCATCGACGGTTTTTGTTAAGTTTTTCGGCTCTTTGACGGTTTTCGTCAAGTTCTGATGTACAGGTTTGCTGGCGGTGGCACTGAGAACGACGCCGATATTGTTTAGTTCGATCTTTTCATCCAATTCGCCCCAAGTCACTGAATGCACAAAATTACAGACACCGAAAAGTGCCAAACAAGCTATGATCATTGGTAACGATGCCATTTCTGAAGGTTTCTTCCACAACGAAATTACAACTGATTTTTAACGATTGCAATGTCAGAATTTATACCGAATTCTTATCCACAAAACCAATAGCACATGGTTGCATTGTTAAATTAAAAAACTGATTAGTTGGTGTTATCTTCGGGTTTATTATGTCGATTTAATTCAAATAATAAAATTCAAAGCGCAAAGCCGAACTATTTTCAATCTTTACATGTGACTCAATAAACGACAACGGTTTTGCTTGATCTATTGCGATTTTTATTAATTTATAAACTAATACGTAGTATAAAATTATAACGAACGTGCATTCTCATCGTTTGAGAATTTTTTTTTTGTTTCACTTTTTTCTTCGGATTTTTTGTTACATGTTTTTTGCATTCCGTTTCTTTTTGTGACTTATTTCATAAATAAATTACTTCAAACATAGGAGTGTGCGAAAAACAAAGAGTGTCGCTTAGAAAATTCATGTAAAATTCTATCAAGACAATCGATAAATACAAATTTTAATCTAATAAGAACTAATGAATCGTCAATTTGAATTCAATATCACACATAAGTTGAAACGTTTTCATTTCGGACCATATTATGGCCATACTATTTTTTCTATCCAATCGGTGTATGAGGCGATTCTTGTGTAAATTGCCGGTAAATTGGTTCCACAACTAACGCCAAACGAAACGATTCCTACGATAGTTGATAATCCGGTTTTTGCGTCGTTTAAAAATATTGGTCCACCACTGTCACCCTGTTCATAATAATTAATGGATTAGAGCGAATAATTTCAACCAATACACAGTACTATACACCCACCTGACACGCGTCTCGATTATCTATCGTATTTATTGCACACATTTGTGAAGAGCTCAATGCACGTAGAGCTGGCTGGTTCCCGAATCGATTGTATTTAACAAGTGTTTGATTGCATTGATTCAAGGGAATGGTTGTGACATTTGCTTTCAACAGAATTTCCGATCGATTCGTTCGATCTGGTTCAATAGAACCCCAACCGGTGATGATCAGTTCTCTGTTCTCTGGCACATCTGCGGTATCGGTTCTTATGCATGCAGGTCTTGCGCGATCGTTAAACTCAATCGACTCCTCAAATTCAATTAATGCAATGTCGTTCTTTTTGCGAATTGAAGAATAATCTGGATGCCGAATGATTTGCTGAAATAAAAAAAAATTATTTAAAAAATATATTTTCTCATTAATTTCAATCGATTTTTACCTTGATTGTTCTATCGATCGGGTCGAGATAGTCGTCAAAAGTGTGCAAGGTGAGTTTTCCCATTCGAATAATTGTCGGTTTTCTTCTCTCCTTAATGCAATGCGCGGCGGTAACGACCCAATGATCACCAATGATACTGCCACCACAATCAAAGTCAAAATCATTTGAGTCCTTGATCGGATATCCCAAAGCTACCATGTGCGGGTATTCACCTTGTCCAACAGGTAAACCATTGATAATATTCCAATTACTGTATGGTGTTGCATCAGCTGCATATCGCTGACAAGCCGCTGCCGACTTTGTACCACTGAATTTATTTGGTAAGTCTGGAGCAATTGGTGGACTCGGTGATGTAGTTGAATCACAGTTGAAACTACTATTTGAAAATGGAATTTTTATTTAATTTGTTGCGAATGTAAATGTAGTAAATATTAATTAATGATTTTTACTCGAAAATAAACCCCATGTCGCACGGAGATTTCGACTTTTCCGTTGTTGGCTTGAGCTCATCGGCACAACAAACAATTTCAACATTATCCTGTAATCAGATTTTTTGGGTTTAAATTGGTTCAATATTTTGAGAACATAAAATTTGGATGAAGGTCCATAAAATCAGAAAAACTATACCATAAATGAACAACGACGAATGTCCCTATAGTTCATTTTCCCTGAATATAAGTTATTGATGAGCCATTTACAATTTTCGGCACTTTTACAAACGCCCATTTCGCCGGTGTGTACTTCACATGGATGTCCCTCTAAAGAAAGAAAGAAAGAAATATAAATAGACACTTGAATATTACTCCTTTATTCGTCTAATGATTCGTAAAGTTATACAAATTTGTATAATAAATATCATTTTTCATAACAAAAAGTACAGTTTTTGTAAAATGTTGAGATCAACTTTTATTTATAAAATGTTTTCGTATTTCTTTCGATTTAGCTCTTATCAATTTGGGATTTTTGCTAAAGATTCTGTTAGAGTATCTCTTCGTTTTTCTGTTTTTTTTTTTTTTTTTTTTTTTCAATAGAATTATCAATTGTACTTTTTATGGCAAACACACTCTATAAACTCTGCCGATTTGATGTGTATATCATTGAAAACAAACACAAAACGCAGTTAACTTGAACTTTGAATAATAAAAATCATAAATTTTCGAGACAAATACCGAATATATTTTCTGAAATTTATTTTCTCATGCCAAAGTCAATGCGATTTGTCAAGAGGCATAAGAATTTTGACTAAATTGATAAACCAGAATGTAACCGTTCAAATGTGAGCTATATGTTTAATAAATCCAAATTTCCCGGTGACTAATCGGAGAAGAGGTCACAGATTTTTATTTCGAGAATACAACAATGGGTTTTAAGTCAAAATCACATATAGACGAAATGAGATAGCTTTACAATTGTGACATTTGTATATTAACGTTGAACCACTCACAACAATAACAATATTGTATTATTATTTACTATTTAGTAGATATCAAAAACCTGTTTTTGTTCGTTCGTAATCTTTAATTAAATTCCCATAGATATACACTTTAAATGAGACTTTAAATGAATTGAGTTGCAGCCCGATTATTTATAGGGAATCCATTGATTTAATTATTATTATCATTAAAACGCGCATTTATAAGCAATATTTTGCTGCAATTGTCAATTCAAAGAAGAGATTAACTTGAATGATCTCATTCTGAACATGTTTAACGACGCGTTACAATCGCATTTCACATGATAAGCATAACAATGAAATGGTTTTGACATTTACCCATTTGACACACACACACATACACACCTTGTTTTCTTGCATATAAATCTGTATGATCTTGAAATAGAATTAGTTTATTATTAGTTATCCTTACCGAAGAGATCTGTTTGAACGGTGAATTCGACAAATGCCAATAAAAACACTGTCGCCGTGAATGTATGTGATAATTTTTTAAACATGTTTATCATTTTTTATTCGTCACAAATTTTGGTTTAACTTTTGATTTTTGCGCACTGCACTTTAAGAGCAATAATTCACGAATGATCACCAATTGCCAGAATTATAAGAGTAGCCACATCTCCTTAGTATCGTTATGGTCGTTGAAGTAGTCGTGTTTGATAAGACCAAATAAAGTATAAACGTTATTCTGTTTAACTTCTGTATGCTTCTTTCAGCTTTAAATCCAACGCATTGATTGAGCAATAACAACGATCGACAAGACTTTCTAATTAGAAATTAAACGTGCGTATGGTTTTTCCAGTCGCTTGATTAACAAACGTGTGTTTGCGCACAACACCGGTTCACTTTTGAATTTGATGCGGATTTGGCTTCAGTTCACGTTTATATAGTTCGATGTAGCGAACTTTAGTTGAACGACTGAAATCTTTGACTCAAACAAAAAAAACTGGTAGTGCAGGTGTGTTAGCCAGTCAATAAAATGATTCCAACGATCTTTGTCTCTCTCTCTCGCTCTCGTAAGAATATTATGTGGATGGCGGTTATTCGAATGAATCTCGCTTGTTTGGAGTGGGAGAAAAGATGTATGATAGCAATGTGTTTTGCATCTCAGTAGCTTGATTTACGTGTTTTTTTTACTTATCTCATTCTTTTTGCGAGAGAAAATTGCGTTTTACACAACAACACATAAACAGAAACAATGACTGAGTGAGACTGTATACAGAGGAAGACCGAGAAATATCAACCTTAATAAAGTAACTAACGCAAGTGTTGAGATGATTAACATTTTAATCAAATTTACAGCACCGACACTTACTAGATTAGATCACTTTACAGTGTCTGATCACCTGAATGAGACGCGTATATTCTATGAATTCTTATTCAATGCGTCAATATTTTGTGTAAATCGACCACAATACACACAGATGATTTGATGTTTGTGGTTTTTAGTTGGAATTAACAACTTCCATCCTGTTTATCAGAAGATGTAAAAATAATTCGCAAAAATTCCCCTGGTTGATTTCGGTTATTTTAGAAGAGATCAAAATCATATATATTTAAACAGCCTAAAACCACAATTTGATTAAATTACTTATCTTCATTATAGCAATTATTTTGAATCATTTCACGAATTTCGTAAGATTGCGAAAAAAAAGCGACTGGAAATTGATATCAAAATATAATTCACAATTTTTTCAACTGCCGATAATAAATATGCATCAATCAAACGCAATAACAGTTTAATTTAGGTGTCAATTACAAATGATTTGTGACGACTCATCATCAAACGTTGAAATCGCATCAATCAAACACTGGGAAAAATGCATAAGTGATGATGATTCATTTGGTAATTTACGAAAAATTCATTGTTACAAAGAGAAAAAGAATGGAACTTTCGAAATTGGAAATTCATTTTTATTACGTTCTCGTCGATCTTTTTCTAAATTAATATTTAATTTATGAAAATATAATGTTCTCAATCCAATCACTAAACGAAGCAATACGAGTGTAGACGCCCGGTAATTCCGTGCCGCATGATATGCCGAATGAAATAATTCCAACGATATGTGATACACCAGTTTGCTGATTGTGAATGAATAGAGGTCCACCACTGTCGCCCTATTCAATAGTAATTAATGGATTAGAGGAAACATGTTTAACCAATATAGACAGTACTATACCTGACAAGCGTCGCTTCCTTCGAATAATCAGAGTAGTAAAAACAGTATTTAGACATTTTGGCAAAGAAATCAAGAAATATTAATAAAAATGGACGAGACGGTTTTCTATTCATACAATACCTTCAACTATATTCGATGCACACATTTGCGATGAACTCAGTCCACGCAAACTCGACAAATTTCCCAAATTCGATCGCACCAAAGTTTCATTACATTTTTCCAACGGGACTGTGTTTACGGTTGCTTTCAGAAGCGCTTCGGATCGATTAGTTCCTATCAACAAACTAATTTGTCATATTTTGTATCTATTTTTATTTCTGTTATTTCTTACTTTCTGGTTCGATTGTCCCCCAACCCGCAATGATTAAGCTTTCTGAATCAGAAATATCGTTCAAATCAGTTCGTATACAAGCCGGACGAATGATATCATTAAATGCTATACTGCCAATGAACTGAATTAATGCTATGTCATTTTTCTTTGTAATTATCGAGTATTCATTTCGAACGATTCTCTAAGGATGGATTAAGAATAAAAAAAATTATACAATGTTGTGTCGTATGAATTAAAAATGATAAATATTACCGATATATTTCTATCGGCTCCTTCTTCGATCCCTTCGTCGTGTTCAGAATGTAGGAAAATCTTCGTATTATGGGAATTTTGATGAGAAATTCGCATCTTTCATTTTTATTCAAATGCAATATTTAATTTACCTTTCCAAACCGAATGATAACCGGCTTTTTACGACCAATACAATGGGCAGCGGTAACGACCCATTGATCTGTAATCAAACTGGCGCCACAATCAAAAGTATAATCAGTATTTTCACGATTACGATATCCGAGCGCTGTCATATGCGGAAATTCAGTTGACGCGGCCGTTTTACCTCTTATTATACTGTGCACTGGAATGAAAGGCTTCGCAAAAGCGGAATATTTTGTGCATGCATCACGAATTTTTGCACCGCGAATGGGTTTCTTGTTATCAATGTTCACTTCAGTCGTACGCTCTGGGATTCGATCGGTGCATTTATAACTGAAATATAAACATTATCCGTCAAATTCACGCCTTGAATTGTGAATAAAGATGCAAAAACTCACTCAAATAAAAATTCCAATTGGCAATGTGTGAATTTTTCATCGATGCGTGTAATTAAACTTTCATCTCCACAACAAATGATGTCATCATGTCCCTGTATTCAAAGAAAATTTAATTTGGACAATTTATTCATTTAAAATGTTTTCTCAGAGAAGACTCACCGAAAATAAACAAATTCGTATATCGCTCAAATTCATTTGATTCGTTCTCAGATTCGTTATCGCCCATTTACATTTTAGTGCATTCTTACAGATACCATAGTCACCTGTATGCAAACGACAAGAGCTTCCTTCTGCAAAACATTTCAAGCAGAATAGAATTTATTCATAAAGCAGAGGTAGGTAGTAAACTTTTTCTTATTATGGGCCAAGCCATTCAAAAGTATGTAATATAATTTAATTTACCAAAAATAAAAAACGGTTTCGTTAAATCTATTGACATAGTCAATAAAATCGCCATGATGACGCACAATTTACGCAGATGATACATTTTACTTTTTGATCGGTCAAACCTTACGTTGACCACAACAGCTTGCAACTGAGATATTAATTTGCTGAAGCTAGGCATTTTTAAACGCTCAAGATAAACGTGATTTTCATACATTCAAGTTTATGTGTGAAGTGATTTTGATAGGTTGCTGGCGTATACGCAGAAAAAGGGTGATACAGACAGAAATCGAATGGGATAATTTCTTATTTTTTGTTATAAATGGTAGACATAGAGCTACTGTTAGCAATAAAAAGATTAGTTAAACTCAAATTATTTATTTATTTTTTCCATATAAATGTTTGCATTCTTGTTGAAGCACCCTTTATATAGTCTGTGGGCGAGCTATACTATGATAATGTATTCAGATATAACTGCGTATGCATTTCTTTGAAATAATTTAGTAAGAAACACAGTTTCTTTGCTAGCTCACTGGTCAGGAATGGATTTTATCACATCTTTGATTTACTGTATAATTATTCTTCAGATTCAATACGGATTGATGTTTTTACTTAATTTTCTTCAAAAATAGACGATTTGACACGCTCTCAAGTAAATTATGGTACTTTACGTATAAAAGAATGCAATGACTCAAGCTTGTATTACTTTTAGTTGAAAAAAAAGGAATTTTTCACCTAAATAGTCAGTTTATGTTCAAAGAAATTGGTTTCGATTATATGTATTAACTTACATTATGTTCAAATCTTACATTAAATTGCATTGATAACCATTTCCCGTGAATAAAAGCATATAATTTTGTACAAAATGGACTTTATTTTCGGAATAATTTTACATATTTTCAAACATTTCATTTATTTATCGTTTAATAATTAATGCTAAGGCAGGTTCAATGTATCGTCATTGGTTTGGCCAAACGATTGATTCGATCCATTGTAAATAATAGGCGACTCTTGTGTAAACGCCAGGGAGCGTTGTTCCACAACTGATTCCAAATGAAACAACGCCAACGACCGATGCAATATTCGATGAGTGTGGAAATATTTGAAGTGGTCCACCACTGTCGCCCTTTAAATTAAATTACAAGAGCAAATTTTTATTTTTGGTATAAATTAATTTTTAACAACATTTGAAAAAAAAAAGTTTGGTACCTGGCAGGCATCGTTTCGGGCCATTGGATCAAATGCACAGCATTGACTCTGACTTAAGCCCTCGCGCAAGCTCGGTTGATTTGCATCACGATTGTAGTTCAGGAGCGTTGTATTACACAATTGTAATGGCATCGATGTAACATTTGTCTTAAGTAATATCGATGGTCGTACTGTTCCTACAATTCCACAGCAAACAAAATACATTTTTTATTGTTAAATAATTTGCAATTATTCAGCCACAGTTTGTAGCTTACGTTCAGAACTGGTGGTTCCCCATCCAGTAACTAACATCTCAATTTCAGGTCGAATGTCAGTCAAATCCGTTCGTAGGCATGCTGGTCGAATATTTTCAGTGAATTGAATACGTTGCGCAAGCCTAACCAACGCGATGTCATTTTTCTTTGTCGATGATTTATAGTCTGGATGACGAATAATTTCCTGTTTTGAAATTGAGAAAATAATAATAATAATGATTAATTCGTATGAGTAATTTCAATGAATGTGAAATTGTGGTGTGGTTCTTCTCTGTAAATTTACCTGAATGTCGACGTCGAAAGGCTGACCATCATCGTCATTTGTGAAAAGAGTCACCTAATTGTATTTGAATAATTATGCATTATTAAGTCATATGGTGTCAATTAAAACTCTTTTGAATGACTCACTTTACCAAGTCGAACCAGCTGCGGTTGTCGTCTCGGTGGCGCACAATGTGCTGCAGTCAATACAAAGTTGTCAGAAATGAGTGATCCGCCGCAATCAAAATTGATGTCACTCTTGCTTCTGTATCCCAGCGCAGCCTAGAACAAATAAAGAAACCTGAAATGCTGCCATCACATGCTTTTTTGGTTTGAAAATTACCATCCACGGAAACTCGCCTGTTAGAAAATAATATGAAAGTAAAATAAAATAAAAAAAATATTTTTTTATTTATTTTATTATATATAACCTCTATAAGTTGGTATGCCGCCCAAAATATTCCACGATATGGCAACTGGTAGCGCTGAATATCTTTCGCATGCTATTTTAAATGAAGTAGTTAGTATCAAATGCATAATTAAAACATCTATGAATTACCCGATTCAGCTTTGGTGCCCGGACTATATCTCGAATTTGTATTGGATCCAGATGATGACGTCGGTCTTTGTGTAACCCGATTCGACGGCGATGTCGGTCTGTCAAATGATGACGAATCATTTTCATTACTTATCGATAAATTTGATATGCGAAAGATCGATACACACATATTAGCCAAGCACAATCACAAATGCCAAAATAGAGACGGGAAAAAACGTTGGACAAAAATAAGGATTTAATGAATTTCGGGTTTCTTAGCAAACCAAAAATACAAAGAAATAAGAACAATGATCGATTTGATGAAGGCACAGACACCATCTTATTACGTGTAATGAGTGGATGTATGGACGGATCACAAATTTACTTGATTCAGCGAATCATGTCAAATACCTGTTTTGCGATACATATAAATCATCATAACTATTACTACCACTACTACTACCACCACCACCACCAATTATCGACTTCTTTGTCGTTGTTGCAGTTGAATGTTCATTTAAAACCTCACGCATCCATGACGGCATATTATCTGGTGTTTGTACGGTCGTTGTTTTAATTGGACGATTATTTCCATTGTTCATTACGTTTGAGTTCGTTGAATGATCACTCAACACATCTTTCAACCAATCGGGCATATCAGTTGTTGTTGTTTGTCGATATATATCTCGTCCTTGATTTGAACCATTTGAAAAGTCATCAACCATCGTGGGATTTGTTACGGACCATTCATTCCAAAATGAATTTAACGTCGTCGTTCTTGGAGTATTCACTGCTATCGATTTTGACGTTGTCGTATAGACTATCGTCGGACTAGGTGTTCTTGAATCACTCAAAACATCTTCCATCCATGGTAGCAATGTTGGTTTTATCGGTGTTGGTGTTGTTGTGGTTTTTCGTGGTCCACTTGGAAAAATAAAATTTGTTATATGATTTGTTGCCGTATTCGATGCTACTCTTGACGGTACATTTATAAAGCGATTTGGTTTTGGTTCTGAATATGATGATGGCCACACCGGTCCATCGTCCGGTATATATCTATACGTACGAAATGAAGTTGATCTCTAAAAGCGTGAAAAAAAACTCTTCGAACATGCACTTAGCACTTGAAAGTGATTGTTACGGCAAAAAAAAACGACTATGGATTACTAAAGACAATTTTGTGTAAACAGGAATCGTTGTGAGATGAATTGAGTTATTTCATGCAGAAGGTGAGAAGTGATAATTTCCAAAACCAAAAACCTCGAAGCGTTGAAAAATCATGCAAAATATTTAAATTATATGGAAAACACTTACGTAAAGACAAAATCGGTATTTGGTGGCGTTGGTCGTGTCGGTCGTGTTCGACCTGGAAATGGTCTTTCGTCAGCACAACAAGCAATTTGAACGGTTCCCTGTTTAAAACCAATTGAATGAAATCGAGTAAAATATACAATAACGAAAAAAAAAAAAAAAAAACAAAATAACAACACGGAGTTGATTCCGGTTTCATTACCACAAATGAGCATCCAACAATATTATCGTATCTTAATGAACCCGATTGTAAACCTTCTATTATGGATTCGCAGTGTGCGACATTTTTACAGGTACCTCTGCTGCCATCGGACAAAGTACACGAACTCCCCTCTGTAAACAAAGAATAAAAAGAACGCAACGTTTAACACATATTCATTCACATGTGTTTTTTTGTTTTTATTCGCTTGCGAATAGAGTTTTGCGGATAGTTCGACGAACTTTAACTATCAAGGTGGCAATTCGACGAATGAAGACCATCAAAGATTGAATAAAATCACGGTATTCATTTTGACTAATCCACCGGTTTTCAATGTCTTAATAATTGTTTATTTACGCCGGTGATTTTAGTGCGATGTCATAATTTTAAAAGCTTCCGATAAGTGATAAAACTGGTTCATAAACTACGAAAAATTCTCTTATGTTCTAAATAGTGGAAAGAATACTCGTTTTGCAAACTTGTGGTGTATACGTGCATCGATGCACATATGAAACACTTCAGCAGAAATGTCAACGACAATGGATTTTCGCGCAAAGTTTTGCCGTATTTTTAGAATGTCTGTTTGAGAGTATTCTGATGAATCAATGCTTGAAAAATCTTTGATAGTATTGCAATTTGGGCTGAATCGTTTGAGATTTGCACCTCATTCAAGCGTCGATTACAAAACCGCCTTAAACTTTGAATATTAATCAAATTAATGAAATAAACAAAATAGTTCGAATTACCAAATCTTTGTGCCTGACCATATCCAATGATGAATATGAAATCAATCGCCAATGCAATAATAAATGCAAAATCCATTTCTTGTGCGTCTGCTTCGATACGTTGCCAATCACGATTTATCAATGGCAAACAAAAACTGTCCGATTTTGAACACAGTGAGTCACAGCTAAGCGTCTAATATTTATTTAACTAATTTCTTGTTCACTTTACTTTGAAGAACCACTTTGACAACGACACATAAGACACAAAAAAAAATTCCATTGATTTCTTGAATTTTGATTCCTTGAAATATATTTATGAAAACAAGTCCCTTGCGTCGATAGTTTCAGTGAAAATATTATCACAACACAACGTATGTTTGCGAAAAATGCGGGTTTTCCCAAACGGTCGATGTTTATTCAGGCCACACAAGCAAATACAATTTACACTTTGACTTGTTGTTACTATTATTTGATAAGGCATCAAGGCGATTAGTGAGTTAAGTTCATGGTTTTTTCGCTCCACTATTTTATTTCTATGAAATTATTCACGAATTGATTTCACTTTCAACTTAAATGCGGCACACTGAACCAAAATTTGCAATCAAATCGAAACTGAAAGAATTCAAGAATTTTTTCTGCACCATACACCGATGTTGAACACAATCACATCGAATTGTTTGTTTATTTGGTTAGTTTGACAGTGGTTATGATGTCTGTGAGCTCACTTGCTTGCGAATAGTTGTCGTACGTCTGAGTTTGTGATACCGGTTTCCAATGTCACCGTCTTCGACACGCATCAGATACTCTACCATATGATTTTGATGTATGGTTTATGTGTCTGCTGTTCGACTAAATACGAAGCACTGTCGAACGCTTTGCCACACAGTAAATAATTTACGTTGATTCCGGAGCAAACTCTTTAATGTCAAGCGATAATCAGTTGGTTTTGATTGATTTTGACCTAAATTTACACATAATCACAAACTGCTCTGACCGTTAAACTTTTAACCTCTCTCACACCAATATAAACAAGCAGCGAAATTGCGATCGATAGAAAATCGGTCCACATTATTTGTGCATGTTTCACTGTTGTATTTGTAATATCAATATTTGCGTATATAAATAAATCTTGATTATGGACCGTCATTGGTCTTAGTATAACGAAACGTACTATGTACCCATATCATTTTATACGTTGAACAACGATAAAGATTTATTAAAATTATGAATGCTTATCACAAATAGCCAATCATCGTTTGTTTTTGTTTATTCTTATTTGTGATTACGAAAGAGAAAATGGTGAATTTTCGCTTATTATTCGACTCTATTTTATTTCTGTTTTTTTTTTCTCGGAAAAAATGCAATGTGTTATGATGTGAGTCATGGTCAAGTGAATTGCAAATCAATTTTATATAAATCATTTTCAGTTTCTGTTTGTACAAAAACAAAATAAATATCAGATAAATCGACACTTATTCGTCAATTATTATAAGTTGATGTTGTTTTTGCTTATTTTTCTTTTCTCCTCATCTTTCTTCATCGTTCAACAAATGCGTTCAATACAATCTTATTTGAATGCCAAGGGTGTTAAGGGCCAGAAAGAGAGACATGTATGTGCAAAGAGTACATAAACTCCCGATTATGAATATATAGAGAGCGATGTCGTTGCAATTTGTCATTAGTTTGAAACGAAACAACGAAATTAGTACCAGAAGCCAGTTTGACATTAACACATTAAAGAGAAGTTTGTAGATTTTTCTGTGCAGTCGTCAATTTTTGAAAAAGCGGAAAAAAAATGTTACGTAAAGTTGTGATTTTCATGGTTGTATTCATCGTTGGCATGATTGCCAGTGAGGAATCTTTCTTTGCGGATTACAAAGATGCAAATAATTTCGATACTGAAATTTATGGTGATTTATTAATTAAATCTGCTGCAAATACGAACGATGAAATCGCACACAAACCCGAACACTCTCATATGTTGGAATCGAAAAGTTATGGTAAACTCGTACACTATAGCATCGGTGCTCGCGTTTCAAGTAAGTAAAGACAAAAAAAGATCACTATGGCGCCGACAAATATTCCATTCTTTATGCAGAAAAAATACACATCTGAGGTGATTTGAGCCCACGTTATGAGCCTATTTGCGGTTTTTACTTTGGGATTTTTTCGTCGATATTTTTAACAACATTATTGCCACTAAAGTTAATTAATTTTATATAAACCAAGTGTTTCCCCTTTTTAGACTCAGATTATTCTCTAATAAACCTAAATGAATTATTATGATATCTGATCGTTGAACAGATATATTTATTGATTTATTACATTAAATTAATTAATTTAACAGATGCTGACGCGTTAAATTTATTTTAATCCAGCGTCAACGTCACTGATCCATTAAATTTCGAATACTGTATTGTTGACCGGTCAATGACTGTGAACTGTATATCACTCTCATTTTGCAACTAAAACCAATTGTTGACAACAACAAAAAAAAAAATTGTATAAAAATTCAAGCCTTAGTCATAAAAAAAACAACCATTATTGTTGAGTCATTGGACTGGTTGCTAGAAAACTACTAAACGTACATCAATTATTTTCTCATCATACCTTACGCATTCATAGTTTCCAGCAATTATTTGGAATTACACACGATTTAGAGAATTAAACACATGAGAATGAAACCACATCACGTAGAACATATTAAGTGACGTTTTTTTTTCGGCCGGCGTTTTGTGGTCGCAAATAAATTCATAACATATATCAAATTCATTTATTTTTTCTCACACCAATTTTGACACAGTAACCGTGTGTGTGTATATATTCTTTAAAATTCATTCCAAGTCGTTTTGTATTCTATAAATCCAACGGAATAATAAATTCAATTATCCAATTTGGTAATTCCGTTTCTATTAGCATGCGCGTCACGAAAATGATCGCAACATTTTAAAAGTTATCACTTATGTATGGTTTTTTTCTCGGTCACTTTCAGGCGACCGACTAGTTGCATCGGGCGGACAAAATCAAAGCTGGCCATCACCACATAATGTTCAAATCCAATTGACGTACCCAAGCGAAGGTTTTGGTGCCCAAGTCACTTATGTTGCAATCGTTGTGAATCAGGTACATATTGAATTGTCCACATTTGTGCAGAAAAGAAACAATTAGCAAAATTCGTATTTATTTACAGACATCGACTTTAGGACAAGCATACATTGTTAAGGGCGGCATCAATGAGCACATGATTTCAATCATAGTCGATGCATACAGCACCAGTGTCTTCAACGTTTTCGCATACATCTATGGCATTTAAAGTCGTCCAACGAACTTGCTGAAAAAAAAAATTTCAATCTAAATATGCATGACATTATTACGCATTTAAATGTAAAAAAGAATGAAACAAGAACAAATAAACTACTGTTCGATTCATATAAGAGAGTAAAATGAAAATAAATAAATAAATAAACATGATTGCAAAAGATTTCTGTGTTTGTTCAAATTAAATTTGATTTCAGCGCGTCTTTGTATACAAACAAACGCAAATAAATTGATCGCAGCAACTAGCATTGACATATGTTATGTATGTCTACATTTAGACACTTTGACATGCGCTTGTATGTGTTTCAATACGCATCTGCCGTTGTAATGGTGTTAGTTGTAGAGACAGAGAGTTGTGGAGAGATTCTTTTGTACTGAGTGCGTTCACACTGCAACTATGTTAATATTTACTTCGATATTATTAAAGAATTTTATGGATTTCAATTATTTTATTTCATTCCAAAAAGTGGAAAAAAACGAAAAAAAAAATGAAAAGAATTTTTTTAAATAAATTCCGTTGATTTCACTCAGTTAAATAACCATTTGAAATGAGCATTGAGTCATAGTGCGGTTCGTTGTATGGAGACTATCACATTTGAAATGTCAAATTGCAAACATTTCATTCGTATTTTAACGGATTTCACATTGATGTATAACATAAAGGATGTGTGCACATCAACAGTCAATATATAAAAATCGTTTTATTTCAGTAAAATACTAAATGTTTACAGAAAAGTGTTATTTTCACAAACAATTGCAATCGAAATTTTAAAAAAGAAACCATATTAAAGATGATTCGAATAAATAATTTGAATTGAGTGAATTTTTATTGGAATAAGTATTTTTGTGAGCGAAAGGTGTTTGTTTTTTGTTTTGTGTTGAAAAAAAATTTGTTAAAGAGTCGAGAAAAAAATGGACTTTGATACAGCAAAGGAGAATATACAGCCATTGGCTAGTGGTCGTAATGCTGAACATTTGGAAACTGCATTGCATGCTGAATCGGATCAAGAGACCCAAGAAAGATTGCATGAACAGCGCCGTGAATTTGAGAAGGCAATCGAAACGTATGTGGGAGACGATCCACTACAGCCATGGTATGATTACATTGAGTGGGTCGAACAAGTGTATCCAAAAAGTGGCAAGGAGTCAGCATTACATGAAATACTCTCGAAATGTTTGGCGGAATTTGAAGAAAACAGACGATATTTTCAAGATCGTCGAATGGTGAAGCTGTACATCAAATATGTGAGTATTTTATTCGTAAGAAAATCATTTCATATCAAATTGCTCAAACAGAAATATTTTTGTTGCTTTGAAACAGATCGATTCAGAGTCAAATCCGCCACAATTCTACGAGCAATTGTACAACAGTGGCATCGGTACAATGGTGGCCGACTTATATCTTTGTTGGGCGCACTACTATGATTATTGCGACAATTTTGAAAAGGCCGAATCGGTTTATCGTAAGGGTTTGGATGCTCGTGCACAGCCCATTGAGTTGCTTGAGCAAGCGCATCGCCAATTCGGTTTTTCAATGTCACAACGCATATTGTACAAAGATGAATCGGCACAACGTGAATTCCGTTCGACAATGGAGGAACAGCGATTGGCATTAACGTCGCTGCGAGCACATAAACACCGTCATGTGGGCAGCATTCGAACTGGGTCGGCGGTGAAAAGTTATAATCCCGGTCGTGTTGAGCAACATGGTGCGTCGAGTCGAAATTCGCGTCTTAAGGACAATCGAAATGTACAAATATTTGAGGATAACGGCGAAGAGCCAACATCACCAGTGGCCTCAACATCGGTTGTTCAATCGATTATCAATAGTACAAAAAAGCAGGAGAATATGCGTGAACCGGGACCATGGAATAAGGCAAAAATCAAATCGAATCCATTGTTTTCCGGTGCCAGTTCGACAAAACCATCATTTTCGATATTGGAAGATGATAATTTACTACCGCCACCAATACCATTGGACGAAAAAGACAACAATTATGCACGTGGCATTCAATTGCCGAGGGATTTTGTGAGAAAAAATCTACCGCAAGAGGAATTCTTATTTCAATTGCATCGAGACGACGAACCGGGCAAGAATACTCTGTATAATTACGATAAATTCATGCTATTCCCTGCCAAAGATAAATGCTACTCATTGGAAGAGCTGTGTGCCTATAAATGGTTCAAGAAAAATAACATCAAAAACACTTTCACCGAAACTCAGGCGGCCATTTGGGAAAATGGCCACGACATTCCATTACGATTGCCACCACATTTTGTACGGAAAAATCGTAAACAAGATGATTGGAAACTGTCACCGGTTAACTATATGGATATCATTGAAAATGGTCAACGCAAATTTGGATTTGATATCAGTCTCGTTTATACGCCAATTGATGAGTTTTCACCAGAGGAAATTTTACAATCGAAATGGTTAAATGGTGAAATGAGGAGCCAAAAAGATGCCGAAATGGAGATTACTTGTGGATTTGAGCGTCTTGAAGAGATCTACAATCGCAAAGCAAATCGAAGATCAATGATTTTGGGTGGAAGAAAGTCGATGTTACCAAGAAAATCCAATTCACCACGCAAATCAACGTCCAGAAAATCAATTATTGAACATGCCCCGGCCGTAGCACCAATGCCAGAGAATGAAGAAGAAGAACCAACCACTTTAAATTCGGAACCACCATTGCCCACCGGAGCGGTGAAGAAAACGAGTTTACCAAAACGTAAGAGCGTTTATTTCGCAAAAACACTCGAAACTCTGACAACAATTCAAGAAACAGCATCGCCACCAACGCTACGCCGTAAGCTTAATGAAGACGAAGAGACCGCTGAGTCTTATAATCGTCCAACTGTGTCAAAATTCAACATTTTCGAAGATAACGAACCGATAGATACTGAAGTTGATGATAATATGTTTAAAGTGCCGCAGGCCGTGCCTGCTCAAAAGTCAGTATTTCAAGATGATCTGGATGGATGTACGACACAAACATTCAATTTCTTTATAAAATCACAATCGATCAGTACACCGAAAGTGGAAAAACAAACAGCCAAAATGTCAGAGCCGGAAAATGTGGTGACCAAAGGTCTTGACTTTGGAAGTGATAGTGATACTACGCCACCATCGAATGAAGAACAAAATGCTGCCACAACTAAGCAACCATTTACATGTCGATTGGCTGACATGGATGCGCAATATGTATTAGCCGAACCGCCAGAGATTTATCGGCAAAAATTATCTGCAATAATGGAAACTACGGAAGATGGTGCTACAATTTCATCGTTAGCAGCCACGGCTTCGAGTAAATCGTCATCGGTTGAAGATTTTGACTTTACAAAACATACAACACAACAATCTTCGGTAGCCATGTCAACCTATCGTCATCATACAATGGTCAATAGCACGGCAGCAAAAATGTCATCGTCAACTATGTCCACCACCCATCGAGAGAATGAAACAAGAAAAATATCAGCGCTTGGCTTTGAGATTTATCAAGAAGAACCACCAAAACCCAATGAATCCATGCCATCGGTGAACGTCATAGCCAAACCAGTCGATGTGTCAAAAGCACTTGAATTGCAAAAAGAAGCGACAATTGCATTCGATAAAACATTACCACCGGCTGGCCAATTCCATATTTACGAAGACGAAGAAAAGATTCAAGCTGCGGCAATTCAAGCGAAAAAAGAGAATTCAGTGTCGGCGAAGGTGAATGAAACAACGAAACGTGCAGAGAAGTCAATGTTTGAGATATCACGAGCTGAAACAGAACCATCGAACTGGAGCTCCAAAACACTCACCAAAAATGATGCAACATTAACTCGACGAGTAAGTACAGCACAAGAGAAGAGTGAAAAAGCATTCGATTCAACATTGACGTCATCGACAGCGATAATACCATCAATGCCACATAAGCCTATTTTCCAAATACTACAAGAAGACACTGGCCTCACAATTGCTCCGATCAATTTTATCGAAGAGAATACCGAAAAATTACCAAACTTTAATGCGAATCGAACAAATTTTACGCAACAATTACCGCCCGCATTCGAACCATCCATTTATATGCCAGAATTACCGGAGGATACAACGAAAAATATGTCCAAATATTTCAAAGCAAATGTATCACGAGTTGAACCACCGCCACCAGCACTCCCACCGTCCGTATTAAATGACCAGTCAGTGCTGTACAATAAATCAGTATTTTTATTGCCAAAAGAGGACACGATAACCGATGTGTTTTCAACGAATTTCGCTGATGTTAAAACAGAAACTGCGCCAAAACAGCCAAACGATATAAGCATGGTGGCTATCGGTAATTTGAGTGCATTTCAAATGATTCCGGAGATGCCAACATTGCCCGACATTGATTTTGCCGCCGATGTAATGAAAAACACATCTGTTATCAACGATAAATCACAAGCGATGAACAAAACAAAGTCTGAAACAATACAAACCGAAGAAAAATCGCATGGAGCATCATCAGCAGCAAATCTTACAACTGGCATTGAAGCAAATTCGAAGGCAGATCGTTTAAGTATATGGAATAAAACAGGTATGTAAAATTTGTATGGAAATTCAAAGGGACTTTATTTTAATCAAATGAAAAATGGCACTTGTTTCAGTGGTCGCAGAGAAATCTCGAACAAATATCGATGATGAAATCTACGATTGTATTAAAGACAACGACAACGACATAAATACTTATATGGATCTCAGTATTCAATTGAATGATGATGAAATGGATGACATGGGACCAACAACGGAGAACGTTGTGTCAAAACCAGATCAAACCGAACCAAAATTTCTGATATGCAATCCGGTTTCGATACGTCCCAGTCAATTTCAAATGAACGAAACAAAATCTAATGACATGACCATCATGAAGGATGAAATTCATAGTGCTCAACAATCTTTCAAGCAAATTCAGTTGAGTTCAACCAAATTGATGAATGATACTGCCAGATATGATGGTTCAGCAAACGTCGTTGAGAACATTGAAGTGATTCCACAAAAATGTGAAGCACCATCAATTTACATGCCCGAAATGGCCGTGGATACAACGAAAAATATGTCAAAGTATTTCAAAGCAAACGAATCAGAAGTCAAACCACCTCAGCCGATCGCTTCGAATGATCTTTCGATATTTTTATTGCCAAAAGAAGACACCGATGTGTTAACGATGAATTTTAACAACGAGAAAACTGATACAGCGCTAAAACCATCAAATGATATAAGCACATTTGCCATTGGTAATTTGAGTGCGTTTCCGATGAATCCGGAGATGTCAAAATTACCCGAAATCGATATTGTCACCGACGTACCGAAAAATATCTCAATCATCAACGATAAATCACAAGCGATGAACAGAACTAAGACTGAAACAATGCAAATCGAAGATAAATTGCGAGATACAAGCATCGAGGAGACAGCTAGCATAACGACTGACATAAAGTTCAATTCGATTCATATTGAGGAAGAACGCAAAAGTCCGTTGAATAAAATAGCGGACGCAGACAAATCTCGGGGAAATATCGATGATGAATTCTATAATTGCATCAAAGACAATGACAATGACATAAATACTTATTTGGATCTTAGCATTCAGTTGACCGAAGATGAGATGGCAGACATTGGAACCAAAACCGAAGCAGTTGAAGCACCGAAATTTCTAATATGCAATCCGGTTTCGATACGTCCCAGTCAATTTCCAATGAACGAAACAAAAGCGAACGATACAACTATTTCAAAAGATGACATTCATAGTGTTCAACAATCTTTCAAAGAAATTCTGGTGACTCCATCGAAGTCGTCGACTATCAAACAAGATAATTGCTCATTAATTGTTGTCGAGGACACTGAAGATTTGTCAGACATTTGTAAATCGTTCGCCAAAGAAACACGCCGTGAAACGATACACAGCCCATTTAAAAATCGATTTGCAACCAATCCCAAATTGAATGAAACGATCAGCGCTGTGAAAGAAATCGATCCATTTGATATGCATTTGCAGAATGCATTTTTGGACGATATTGATTTCATCGAATACATTAAAGGTTTGGATTACGTAGAAATCACAACTAGAGTACGTGCCATTGAATTGAATGCCGTATTAGAAATGGGCAACAACACGTTCGACATTGACAAGCAAATCGGACATGGGAGCTTTGGCTACGTGTACAGGTTGGTGAATTGGATCGGAAAAATTGAGAAGAAAAAAAAACATTTGTGTTAATAATATTTATTATTTGGTAATTTCAGTGGTAAAAACACAAAAACCGGGAAAATGTACGCATTCAAACAGGAACGGCCGGCGAATTTATGGGAATTCTACATATCGCTTGAGATTGCCAGCCGAATTGAAGACCCAAAAATGGTAATGAAACGCAGAAATCGATTTTCACTCAAATAAACACAGAAAACTTATGTTTGTTTTGCATTCTATTTTTAGCTTTCTGGATTTATGTGCGTGGAGCATGCAATGGTTGGTCACAATTCCAGCATTTTTGCATCTGAACTTTGCGAATATGGATCATTGTTTGATATATGCAATCGACATAAATCAACCACTTGTCGCAATCTGGATGAAGTCATTGCAATGATTTTCTCAGAACAAATGCTTTCAATCTTGGATCATTTACATGCATCGAATATCGTACACGGTGACATTAAACCAGACAATTTTTTGGTCATGAAAAAGTAAGTCAAACTAAATGAAAATAGAAACATTTCTTTCTCTTGTTGTGATACCAACAATTTCTAATGAAAATACAACGTACGTTTTCTATTTGCCTTTCTAGACTAAGCTACGGAAGAAATGAACTTGTCATAAAATTGATTGACTACGGTCGATCGATTGATTTGAACTTTTTCCCACCAAATCAAATATTCACATCGGTTATCAACACAAAGAATTTCGTTTGCACCGAAATGCTGGAAAATAAACCGTGGAAACATCAAATCGACTTGTTTTGCATGGCAAGCACAATGCACACATTGATTTGTGGCAAATACATGAACGTTAAGAAAAACGACAGTCTTATTCGGCCATACATTCTGACCGACGGTTTGTCATCGTATTTGAACGTTCCATTGTGGGAGCATGTTCTCTATTCACTCATCAACGTTCCGGATCATAATGCTTTGCCCGATCTACAGAAACTACGACTGTGTATTCGAGAGGCTGTGGTCGATAAGGAGGACATTCTTCAAGAGAAAATTAATAAATTCAACGCAATTTTGGATTGTTGATCGTGTTGAAATTAGATAAAGGCAAAAAAAATAGTTAATTTTTATATGAAGTAAGAGTTTTTTTTTTAAAATAGAAGTAATTATTTCAATCAAAAAAAAGATGCAGTTAATCATGAACAATATTCATTTATATAAATATCGACATTTATTTTCTTTAATGCATAATAATATATCCGATGCGATTTTAAATGTAAAAAAAATATTATTGCTAAAGGAGAGAGCACGAAATAATTATTCTATAGCATAACTAACATTAAATATTTGATTAAACATAAACTTTGAGACCGAAAAATGTGCATTTTATCTTTGGAATTCTATTTTATGATGTGCATTTGATGGAATGTGATTCCTGCTACGCAAAACTGACATAATAAGTTCAGTTCTTCTCCAAAATAAGGCGAGTTTTTCCATTCAGTTCTTTTTCTTTGTTGGATTTGCTGGAGTGCTTCGAAAGTAGTCGACAATAGCACGACGTTTGTTTGGATAATCAAGCAATTCGTAGATTTGCACCAATCCAAAGTATCCGGCCATCATGACGAATCCAAAGAACAAGAAGAAAATTATGACAGCTCCCAAAAATCCAAACAATAAAGCTGAAGCCATTGTTATTAACGTTCCTAATGATGAATAACAACAGTAAAATGCAAATTACTCACAGTTACTTATTACTTGTCCGTGCAACATGCAAAAAATGAAAGTAAAAAAAAAACCAAACACACGCAAAATTTCACTGACCTTCAATGATGACGAAACTTGTAAAAGTCATAATCACAGTCGCAATAGCAAATATCATGAAAATGATAAATGGCAACGCACACGATAGCACGCAAATCGACATGCCAAATGCCAAAAATGGATGTCGCGATAAATGTGTAACGATATAATCAAGAACTTCATAAGCTCCATACTGTTCTAACGTCTGGTCAATTGAACTGGATCCATTGCGCCCTATGGAATAAATGTTATTTTTTATTTTGTTTCACATGGAATTTTCGCTTTCAAGGTCAAATATTTTTCTTACACATCTTTGACAAATTGAACAGCAATAAATAAGCCCAACTCTTATTTGCGTCCGCATAACCGAATCCATTGTGATCTTTTGTTCCGTTCGTTTCCGTTCCATTCGACAATTTGCCATCCTAAAATTCACAGCGTCCACGTCGAAACGAGAAAAAAATGTACGTGAATGCAAATGACCGATAATCTTGTTTAAAAAAAAAAAACAAACCTCTGGTGCCGGCATTTTTCTTATTGTTGTTGTTTCAAACAAATATCGAATAGTTTCCAATTTTCAAGGTATGTGATAAAAAACAAATTATATGGTTTTTTTTTTCGAAAAATTTAAGGGTAATTATGCATTTGCAATGTAATATGTTGTGTGGTGTTTTTTTCACTATGCGATGCAGATATACAATAAATCCAAAGTGCGCGTTCAATATTTTTATGTCAATGCGATGACGTTTATAAGTCAAGGATTTGACAATCGCACGCCAAACGTCAAAACTGCTGATTCGGCTTTCGCTATCACACAACAAATTATTTATTTCATTTTTGCAATACAATCAATGCAGTTCTCTTTTATTATTATTATTTTTTTAATAATTTAACATTTTTTTGTTGTACCTAAAATTAAATTTTCAACAGATTTCAAGCTTCTGATATTGACAATTCAAAATGCCATTTGATTTAGATATTGAGGTAAACAAATGATTACAATACATTGTGTAAAATAAAAACAGTGTAGTAAATGTACTTTGTTTCGAATTAAATTGTTTTAAAATAGAATCCAGAGAAACTTCCACTGCCAGAACTAATATTCCATGTAAAAGATAACGGAGTCAAATTGGCTGTTCCTGCACTTGTGAGTGAATGATTTTTGTTCATTTTTAAAAACGGCACATTTTTTTTCCTAATAACTTTGAATAAATTTGCATCAAAGAGTAAAAAATGGATCGACGAACAGAGACATATCAAATATTTGCCGCTGAAAACGATGAATATGGATGAAGAGTTTACGGACAAATGGATGAAAATCGCCAGATGGTAAGATGAAAATGATATAAAATCGAACTGGGAATTCAAAATCTTTATCTGTGCTCTATTCACATTTTTTTTTAGGTTGAACAATACTCTGGAAACACTGCTTGAAATGGAACATTATCGGTGAGATAAAAACTTTTGAAATTTTTTGCGCTCAAAAAAACGTTCAAAAGTCTTCAAACTCATGTGACATAATTCTAGCTTTATTCGTCGATAAATTGAATATTTAAAGAAAAGTGTTTTGTTGACATTGACAACGTTTCAAATGATATGAAATACATCGCGTGTGTTTATCGTTTCAAAACTCGTAAATGAACGCCAAAACGTGGTGACAACAGAAATAATTTCGGGTCAAATTCCATATCCTGGCCCATATGTTTGGCATCCATTTCGTATTTGAATTTTTGCAACATCAAAACGAGTCCGACTTTTGTTTGCATTTTGCCCATTCGCATGCCGATGCAATTCCTCGGTCCATCACCGAAGGCGATGTAAGGTTTGGTCACATGATTTTTTGCACCTTCTTCGAGGAATCGTTCCGGTTTGAATTTGGTCGGTTCCTCATAGTATTGCTCATCCATTTGCAATGCATATGCCGGAATAAATACTTCAGTGCCCTTTTCAATGATTTTATTCGTGCCCGGAATTTGATAGTCATTCATACATGTTCGATTCAAAATTGGCACAATCGAATATCGGCGAAGAGTTTCTGTAAAAAGTCAGAAAAAATTGGACTAAAAATGTTGAAAGTGTTAAATTCGGAGAATATCTTACCATCAATACAGGCTTCCAAATATTTCATCTCTGTGACCGATTCATAGTTAATGCATCCGTTGTGTTTCTCTAAAATGCGATCGATTTCATTGTGCACTCGTTGCTGAATCTCTGGATGTTTGGCCAGTTCATACATGCAAAATGTCAGCGTTGTGGATGACGTCTCGAAACCTTTAAAATAAATGTTCGATTTAGTCAATTTGTAGTACACAAAGTTGAATAAGTTAACCAACCTGCGATGTAGAATACATATGATTGGGCGGCTATTTCCTTCAACGACATTGACTTTTGACTTTCGTCAGCTTTGATAACCGTTTCCCATTGGTCGTCAAGTTGAACGGTTCCTGTATTTCGCAATTGAATAAGCAATTGAAAGAAATCTTTCCGTGTGACATTGTTATTTTCACGATACTCCAAGTTCTGTTTAACAATCGAAAAAATAAAATTCTCGACTTGTTGTGATACCGATTTAATCCGAAGTAAGTTCATTAACTTGGGTGCTATAAAGTTGAATGACAATCGAATTGAATTCGAAATGCTTGCTTCAAACACCTTACGGCCGTAAACACGGAAATCATTATTTGGATTTGTGATTGTGTCGACATCGATGCCAAATGCTACCGATGCAATAACCTAAAAATCACATTGAAATTATTAGCACAAATTATACCAAAAATACCAATATTTTCTTCTTACATTTGTAGCGTGACTCGCCGAAATTTCGTGAACATTAAGCAATTGATTTTTGTTCGCTAAATTATCCAAATGATTTTGTAAAGTGGCGCCACAATCGACAATCGTGGAAAACATTGCTTTTAACTTTCCCGATGTAAATGTTGGCGACAATTTTCCACGTAAATTCTTCCATTTTTGTCCAGGCAATGCAAAGAGATGAGCCGACAGCGGATCATATCCTTCGTTACAATGAACGCCTCGATCGGTAAAGTTGGGAAAATCTTTTATTAAAATCGTTCGAACGAGCTCAGGATCACGCACCAACAATATCGGTCGTAGTATACTATAAATCCCAATGAAAGGCTCTTTTGTTGAATTGTAAAGTCTGGTGATGAGACTGCCCAAACTTTCTTGTTGCGAAAAAACTGGTTTGAAGTGTCCGAAGATATAATTAAATCCGGGAAAGGTTTTGATTCCTCTTCGCTCCCAATAAGAATACGTTCGTTTTGCGTAAAAATAACTCAATGTTAAAATTCCGATGACGAGTGTCAATGCTTCAATTTTCCAGTTATCTGTCAATATACCCATTTTGTTCGATTAGAACTGATAATAACTTACTACTTTGAATTTCACTTTCAATCCACGTCCGAGACAATGTTAACTGCAGTGTCTCGACATAATGCACTTATATTTATATGATTTGAATCTCAACGGGGACCACTTCAATCTTATACACAAAATGATTTAAAATACAATTGACGACGTTCAGACACGCCATTTTGTACGATAAGACAAGACTGGGTTGTAAAATTGAGACGATTATAGAATGTTGACCGGGGAAAAAAATCTACAAAATGATGCAGCATTTATAAAATGAATAGCAATCATATTATAAATTTCTATAATAATCATCGAATGACAATTGGTACGTTTAGAACTTCGAGGATCATAACAACTGATAATAATTTCATGAATATTATCGAAAACAAACAAATTATTGTCTCAATTTTTATATTTTACATTAAATACACCTATTATTTCACGTGAGATGCAAAAAACCCCTTCGAATGTTCACTGTCGCAGACAATGAATTTACAAAACTACATTTTGTTTGATTGAAGTAGAGATGTTTTGATTGACAAATCAAAGTCAGACACTCAGTTAATGTTGTTCACCTTTTTGTAGGTTCTGGTCGAATTTGGTGTTTGAACCGGATTATATAGCAACAATTGTATCGTTTCTACAAGAGGCTGTGCCCGCCTACGTGCCCATTACTTCACTCACATCTAACCAGCAAATCATCGATTTATACGCAAAAATGGCAAACAACGTGCTAACCATTCTGTGCCGAATGATCACCAACAAAGAGTCAGAGGTAACAATTTGGATCGGTTTTACAGAATATATCAATCATAAACCGACACAAAATGATTTTCATATTTTTTTTTTGAACGATTCATGATTTCGCCGATTATTGAAAACAATCCATTGAGAATTATTGAAATGTTGTTTTTGTTTCAGACTGAATGGATGACTAAGGAACAATTGGCTGACATTTTGTACGATAAGTTTTTAATAACAGTGCCAATGATTTTCGACTTACTCGTTATATACGGTCAAGATAATGCAAATATTTTGCGTCGCGTGATTGAGACAATTTTAAAAATTCAGCCTAAATACCGAAATGATTTAAAAGACGGTTTAAATTTCCTGGCCACCACATTTAATACCATTCAAGAAAAGGTGAATGAAAACAATCCCGATACGTACGAAGATTTAGTGATGTACATTTTGGACTGTTCCTACACAATTCATACATTGATCGCTGTTCTGCCCGAAACTTTTGAAATTTGTCGTGATGTTCAAATGGAACAGAAAGTCACACGGTTCTATGATGAAGCAATACCATTTCTACACAAAAATATTACATACATTAATCCCAATTTTCTGAAAGAACTCAATCGTGCACGATTGTTTTTGATCAAATTCTTTCGCTGCTTCGTTGATAAATATTTACAGGAAGTGCTGCAGGAACCGTAAGTGCACTTACTTCATGAATACTACTCTAAAACTACTTAACTTCTTAAAAATTAACTTTTTTATTTTGCATTTTTTTTAGTTCCAAGAAAGAAGCGTCAGGCGATAATTTGATGAATTTACTTCAAATCGCATTGTCCGATCAAAATTTCGTATTGGATTATCAACGCTTGCACCCCGTCGCCGATGATATCGATATTATAACGCAAGCTATTCCAAAAATGTAAGTAGATTCCGAAGCAATATTTCTTTATGGCATTAAAAACGATTACGTTTTTTCAGAGATAAAATGAAAATCGACTTTGTTGTGCAAGCTTATACCTCGGGTAAAGTGACATCATTGATAAAATCAGACAAAGATGCGGCCAATGCTTCAACAAGTTCAAGTGGCAGGCAGAGTGCATCGACGTCGTCAAAATCAAAGGCAGTAGGTCCCAGTGAAATAGAAATTCAGAATATTTTGGATGTGTTGCCACATTTGGAAGTTCCATTTGTTCGAAAACTTTTGGCGCGTTACGAAAATACTGAGTCTGCGATAGCTGCTGTGCTTGAAGGTAATCTGCCGCCTGATTTGGACGAATCAATTCAAGTGGATTCACCAATGGGCGAACAAAAGGCGTCAGAACCAATCAAACAAATCACCGAAATGGTTGACCAAAATTTGAGCTTGAATAATCGTGAAATTGTAAATGTTAAAATAAAATCGCAAATCGTCCGACCAAAAGCAGAGAAAAGATTCTTGGACGATAAAAGTGCGATTAAAGAGTTTCATGCGAGAAATATCGAACATGGTTATGTTGATATGGCTGATGAGTATGATGATGAATATGATGACAGCTACGAGGCTGTGGTTGAGAGTGAGTCCAAAGTGAGGACTATTCTTAAAAATACCGGTGCAATCAACGAAATGGTCGATGAAGTTGATGATAGTGAGTCTGAAAATGATGATGGGAATGCTGGCGATCAAAGAGACAGAAGCAGAGACTTTTGTGAAAATCCAGAGGCGATACGTGAAAGATGGGCACGTAACAGAGAGGCCAAATATGGAAACAAACGACAACCACCGAGACCTGCTGGGTATGCATACAAGCACATTCTTTGGAGATTACATAAATCTAAACAATAAATATTTTTTTTATTTAAAACAGAAACGTTGTTGGCAATGCCAAAGGTCAAGGTCAAGAAAAGAGTACTTTGATCAATCGTGAGCGGAAAAACGAAAACAAATCCAGCCGAGCAAACCATAACCGACGTCAAGGTGCAGCTTTCAAACGTAGTCGAGGAATGATCCCATCATAATTCATAAATTGCTCAAAGAAATTAAAATAAAAGTCTTTTTTTAGGAAAAGAAAGAAAATAAAACGCAATCAATTCTTAAATTACAGTTGACTTTATTTCGTTTTAAATTCACGCCAATTTAGTTGAAAATGAAAATACTTTCTTTTCATGAGAATTACTATTTATCGTTTGAATACACGCAAATGAATGCCTCCAAGTGAAGTGATCAAGAAATTTTTTGGATCGAATTTAATGTCGTTGTTTTTGTGGTGATCGGACAATTCGAAGCGAAATTTTTGTAGCATCATAACGAGAGCGCCTTTTATTTGTAATTTTCCAAGTCTCATTCCGACACAATTTCGAGGTCCTTCTCCAAATGGCAAGTAGGGCCGATTTATCATATTCTTTCCCACCGAATTTTCTTCATTGAATCTCTCTGGAATGAATTTCTCTGGATCGTCAAAGTACTTTTCATCCCAATGCAGAGCCATAACAGGGATGAAAACCTGTTTAATAAGACATTAAAAGAGACGTAAGACATCCTTCACCTTCACGCATATTTTATCCTTATTCGGAAACATACTTGAGTGCCTTTTTCAATCACTTTATCGGTGCCGGGAATCTGGTAGTTTTTTACACAAGTTCGATTTAGTATTGGCAGGGTGGCATACTTTCGTAAGGTTTCTGCAAACATTTTTTTTTTTTTTGAATTTCGACATTTTTCTCAATTCTTTTACATACATACCATCAATACAAACTTCTAGATATTTCATATCAAAAATCGACTCATATGTAATTTTGTCATCGTTTCTATTCAAAATGCGATCAATTTCATCGTGAACAGTTTGTTGAATGTGGGGATTTTTGGCCAATTCATATAAGCAAAATGATAGTGTCGTAGATGACGTTTCAAATCCTAATTGAAAAGAAAATAAATATTTGGTATTCGGATATTCGATCTAAAATGATTAAAGTAAAATAATAGAACGTTTGGTGCACAGAATCAATCCCAAGAAATACTTTACACTAAAATTGGCTGGGGTGAATTATTATTATTGAATTTAACTGAGATCTATCCAAATTGAATTGAAGCCACAGATACCTACCAGCGGCGAAAAACATAAATGTTTGTGAACATATCTCATTCAATGATAACGTCTTTTGGTTCTCATCGGCTGCAATAACTGTTTGCCATTCGTCGTCAAGCTGCACGGTTCCCGTATTTCGCAATTGAATCAGCAATTGAAAGTAGTCTTTGCGAACGACACCATTTTTCTCACGATATTCTAAATTTTGTTTAACTACTGAATGGAGAAAGTGTTCAACTTTTGAATTGACGATTTTCAAGCGAAGTATTCGCATCAATCTTGGTGCAAAGAAAAAACAAAACCATCGCACCGCATTTATGAAAGTTGATTCAAAAATTTGGCGTCCATGCGTACGAAAATCATGATTCGGATTGCCAATTGTGTCACAATCAATTCCAAATCCAACCGAAGCAATAACATTGGTCGTATGTCGTGCAGCAATGTCTCTTACATATAGAATTTCCTCTTTATCCGCTATTTTCCCCAAATATTGTTGTAAAGTGGAGCCACAATCATGCAAAGTGGAGAACATGGCCTTCAATTTGCCGGTACTAAATGCAGGAGATAGTTTTCCACGTAAATTTTTCCATTTTTGCCCGGGCAATGAAAATAAAATGCCAGACAATGGATCATATTCTTCGTCGCAATGAACATCGCGGTCGGTGAAAGACGGAAAATCCTTAATTAAAATCAAACGCATAAGTTCTGGATCACGCACCAACAATATTGGCCTCAGTATACTATAAATACCAATGAAAGGCTCATTTGTACTCGCATAAAGTTTCTTTACACAATCACCGGCGAATTCTTTCTGTGTCAATGTCTCTTTGAAATGACCAAAGATGTAACTATAATTTGGCAATGTTTTAAAACCTTTACGTTCCCAATACGAATAAGTTCGCTTGAGAAAAAAGTAAATAAATGTTAAAGCGCCAATCAAAATGACCAGAGCATCGATCTTACAGTCTTCAGCAAACAAAACCATTTTAAGTTGAATTCACTTGATCACACAAAATACACTTCTGCTGACTATTCACCAAATGAATCGGTTCAATATTCAATTCGAATATTTATACTGCTCGTTAATTATATCAATATCTTTTAAATTTAATGATATGTATTTTTACCTTATGCCATGGATAACTGGTATTCGTGAGAAAAGTTGAATACGCATTGCCGAATCGATTTTTATTTACTTGAAAGAACTGGTCGAAATGCGACGAATTATTATTAAGTAAGTATTTAATGTCTATATTGAGTGACAGACGGGTGATGAGATGAAGATAGACAATTTTATTGTACTCTAATTTATTGATTTGATTTGAAAACTAGATGACATGACATCTTAAATTCATAAAAAATATCGTTTTTGTTTATTTCCTTTTGTCCTTCTTCGACACATTTCTCTGTGTATTTTGCGCGCAATGAATTGAAACCTGTTTTTTGAGTCTGGTAAATAGAATTAACTATTGTTTTGACATTTAATTCAGTATTCATTTTAATCTATTGAAAAAGGACATTGAATAGACGCAAATTTATATTTTTAAATAGTTTATAACTGATTCTTGCTGTTTCATAACAAATAATCCCATTTAAAAAATGTTGACTATTGACACTCAATTTTTATTGACACATTTACATGGCATGCAGTTGTCAGTTATTAAATGTGTGCATCGATAAAAATATCTCGGTGTTGTCAAGTATAATAGGTTGTCGACAACTTGTCGTACATCGGAACATGCCAAATTTTACTGGAACTGGATTTTTTACTTTTCAAAATTCAATTTTGGTGCTCACATCTCATAAATAATATTTTGTATATAATGTATATAAAAGCGAATATTCAAAAATAAAAATTACATTATATTACATCTCCATTTAAAGCAATGTATTGGATTTCGAACACGCAGATATGCTGCCACCTGGTATCTCAAAGTTAAGCTGCTATAACGCACATGCTTCGGCGCACACTACCCAGGGGGTCAAAGTACCCGATTGGGCTCAAACTTCACACAATTTTAGTGATTTATTAGTGAAAATTTGTGACGCCATTTTTAGAATTTGTGACGCTTCAGAAAAAAAGTTATAGGCCTAAATTTGAAAAAGCCTATTCATCAAAAAGTCTATAAATGAAATTTTGAAAAATCGAAATAAAACAAAATTTCAAAAAACTAATGATGCAGTATTTTGGTGATTAATTTGTGATTTCCAAAAATGTTTTGAAAATTTCGATACGACATCTGGCGGACATTTTTTGAACAAAAAAGTGAAAATTGCCCAAAAAAGAATTATTATCGAAATATCGAAAAGGCTTTCCATAAAAACAACCGTAATCATAAAAATTCTTCGACACAGATTTAGTGACCAATTTTTGATTCCCAAAAATGTCATCATTTGAATTTGTGACACACTCCTTGGGACAGAAATGTTAAATTTTCGATTTTCATACTAAAAGTCGAAGTTGAATGAAATTTAGCAAAGCTAATACTCAGATCTAAATCGAAAAAATCACAAATTGGTCACTAAAAGATGACACCATTTATTAAGATCTAAGTGTTCGCTTTGAAAAATTTCATTGATTTTCGACTTTTAGTATGAAAATCGAAAATTTGACATTTCTGTCCCAAGGAGTGTGTCACAAATTCAAATGATGACATTTTTGAGAGTCACAAATTGGTCACTAAATCTGTGTCGAAGAATTTTTATGATTACGGTTGTTTTTATGGAAAGCCTTTCGATGATAATTCTTTTTTGCGCAATTTTCACTTTTTCGTTCAAAAAATGTCCGCCAGAAATCACAAATTAATCACTAAAATACTGCATCATTAGTTTTTTGAAATTTTGTTTTATTTCGAATTTTTCAAAATTTCATTTATAGACTTTTTGATGAATAGGCGTTTTCAAATTTAGGCCTGTAACTTTTTTTCTGGAGCGTCACAAATTTTCACTAATTAATCACTAAAATTATGTGAAGTTTGAGCCCAATCGGGTACTTTGACCCCCTGGGTAGTGTGCGCCGCATGCTTCTTGTAAATGAAGAAGAAGAGGAAAGCAATGTCTTTACATAGGGTTGAACTTATAAATGTCAGAGAGCAGCACAACTGCAGTGTTCAAAGTGCGATTGCCCTTCGTGGAATTCCCACTGGGTTACGTTGGATGATGCACCACAAAACTTCTATTTTTCCCTTAAAAGAAAATGCAAAAGAAATTCTCAAGAAATCCACAATTTTTGTTGACATTTATAACTTTGATAAAGAGAATGAATCTTGAAATTGTAAGAAATCAACGAAGTTTGAAGGTACATTGAGAAATGCACAAACTAATTTTTTTATGGTTAAGTTGACATGTGGGCAGCAATGTTCATATTGCATTTGTTATTTACTTGAACGGGTAGATTTTTTTGAAGAGGGAGAACATGTTTCAGTCACACATATTCTGTTTCATTCATATAAATAAAAACAGATATTCACCATTAATATGAGAATTATTCGAAGACGTACGTTCAAACGTTATATAAAACAACTTTCATAAGAAGTTTTTTATTCAAACGAAACCATCGCATGTCTAATATTTGTTTATATTTTATTGTGCTACGAAACTTTTTATATCATTTTAAAACAGAGATAAGCTTTCATGACATAGTATTTATTCAGGTTTGTTCTAGCTAAAGCGAATACCAAATAGACATGTACGAAATTGGCGACACGTGTATGTGATTAAATGAAATTTTTGAGGCACACATTTGGAATTTGGAAAAAAGATGGTATAAATATTGTTGTTGAACCAAGGAAAATTCAGTTAATTTTGAGAAATCATCTCGTCATTCTTAAATCAAGCAACATGATATTTTTCCGCAATCTATTGGTAGTAGCTCTGATCGCTTTGGTGATCATGACTTTGTAAGTATTGAAAAAAGTTTATAGAATAGATGGCTATAATTTTGGCGAAAGTATAAGAAATGAAAATGTTTAAATTTATTTTACAGGTCGGTCGAGGGAAATGAGAAAAATAGACAACGGTAAGTTGAAGAAAACTCTAATAAATTCGATGCTAAAATTGCCCAATTGGACCAATTTATAATATATAAATTATTAAATGCAAACTGTTGATATTATAGACGTTTGAGAAAGCTTGAAGAACGAAAGAAAAGTAGAGCTAGCGATGAAGGTGCTTCAACTTCAGGGCGTCCAGAAGCTACCGATCATTCAGGAGATTATGAAATAGCAAATGCAATTGGAAGATCGTATGTGCATAAAGTCAAAATATAAGAAAATTTATTTATTAATTTCCAACTTGCAATATATTATAGCATGTATTCGGCGACCAATAACGAAGAGATGTAAGTATATCAATCTTGTTTATTAATTTTTATTTAGTTAATGTACATTATACAATCCCAGAAGCTATATTTAATTCAGCTTTCCATTCTATCTACAAATTCCGTTTATACTTTTGAGAACAGTGATCACTGATCATACAAGTCTTGTAATTTTAGAATTTCCCATCACAGTTATATGATGTAATGAATAAAAAAAGATAGAGGAAAATTCGGGCATCCCGGTACCTCTCACATTTTAGCCGGGTTATCTATTGTTAAGTGAGCGCTCTAATGCGCCAATAAACATGAATTTATTTTTATAAAATGTGATGAAAAATTGTAAAGAAGAAAGATTTCCATAGACATTTCATTTATTATTTTTTAATGTTTGGTAGTGAAAAAAATAGAATTCGGCACAATGGTGCTTATAAGTAATTTGATGTGTTCATAAATATATATTTCATCTAATCATTCTTTGTAAAACTTATTATATTTAACAAATTCCAATGTTTGAATAATTGCAACAGGGCTGCTGCGATACGAGCAATGGCGTAAGTAATATTGAATTATTGTAATATGTCACATTGATTAATTGGTAAACAAATAATATTGTACAATCAATTCTTATTATAACTAGTCATATGCTAAGCGGTATGCAAGTGTAAGTACTGAGTGGAAATTTAACTGAACTGAAAAATAAAACATTTCTTTCGAATACAGGGGACCCCCAGGAATTGTTACAAATGAAACAGAGAAGAAGGAAAAGAAATAATGTTATTAAACGATTTTTTTGTATGCTTTTCATTTTGATATCAACAATAAAATGTTTCAATTCAGCAAAATTAAAAAAATCGTAATTTTATGATGAACCACATAGGTGATGACGAGGGTTCCTAGGTGTCGGATGACCCCCCCCTAAAATATTTTTAGGAACCCTCAACAATGTAGGAAATGAGGACATTTTTTTTTTTTTTTTTTTTTTTTTTTTTTATTTTTTTGTTTTTAAAATTTTTTTCTTTTTCTTGGGTTTTTCCCCAAAAAATTTCATTACAAAAAAAAAAAAAAAAAAAAAAACGATTTTATCGTCATTTGCTAGAGAATTCGGAGTTGAAAAATTCTTTCGATTTGCTAGGGATTTTCGCCAAAAAAGTGACTTCCA